CTTTGGAATACTCCCTAGTTGATTTCATCCAATCAGGTTTTCAAACATTACCTGAAACCCAATGACCCAAATTGCTCACTCTAGCCTTGTCCTCTCTCCAGAACACCAGCTAACTCAATATATCCACTTGAATGTCTAATGGGCATCTGTCTGTTGGGAAACACCCGGCCTGGTTTCAGAAACTGTAACCCTGCCAACACGCTGGAGGGCCCCAAGGCTGGAGATAATCAGGAGGCCTTGGAGAAACAGGCTCCTGAGGAGACTTGGCCTGTCCCCTGCTGGCAGGGGCATAGCCCCTGCCTCTCTGCTTTGCTATGGCTGGTCAATTAGCCCATGACTGGTAAGGGACCTCTTTCTGAGGTTTTAAACCTAAGACAGGCTTTGGTCCAATTTTGGCAGCAGAGAAATTCGGGGACAAGGAGAAGGGGCGAAAAGGACCCCACACCCCTCGGATTGGCTTGGACATGGCCGGGGAGTCCTCATTGTAGCCGAGAAGCAGTCTCCTTATCTCCTGGCGCTTCCTTCTCCCTGCTGGCTCAGGCTTGAAATAGTGCGGGGGTGGGGAAAAACAGCTGTAAATCAGATCTGGCAGATCCCCGGTAATCAGGCCTGAAAATAAATTCTATAGAGTATGCTCTGTTCCTCAAATCATAAATCAAAGCATAAATCAAAGCATAAGCTGCGAAGGACATTCACATTATTTACATCCTTTTCCTTGTCAAGACATTTGCTTTATTTACACCTTTTACCTGGTATCTTTAAGACACCTTTAAGTTTACTTTCCCCATATAGATAGTCTCTATTGTTGATTCTTGTTCCCTCTCTGACCCATGTAAATCATTGATTTCCTGTCACCTGTTTTCCTAAAGGTATCTATTCTCTGTGAAACTTACCTTGCGAATGTAATGAGTATATGTATGCTTTCCTGTTATACCCCACTGATAAGATTTTCAATAAAAGCCTCGGAAGGAGGGGCAATGGGGCCTTTCCCATTAGGGGGATGTGCCACGGCTTTCTCTAGTAGAAGAGAAGTGCCCCCGTCTGCTCTCCCGGCAAACAGAGAAGTGTTTGTACGTTTGTGTTTGTCCCCCTCCTCTCTGAGGACCCCAGGACAGGACGGGCTCTGTGGGTTTCAGAGCCCTGCTCCCACCTCAGCTGGCCCCAGTTTCCCTCAGGTTTCAGGGAGCGCTGCGCTCTCTGCGGTGCTCCCCAGCAGCAGTGTGTCCCCTATAGACTGCCGTGCAGTGTGACATCTGTCTTCACATGTCTTTCAATCTGGTTCAAAATTTCCCCAACACCTTTCCTACTTTTGAAAAATGACACTACTATATGCCCAGTTGTCCATGCCAAAAACCTTAGCATCTTCTGTATCTCGTTTATTGTACAATTTGGGACTGGTAGTGTGCAAACAGAGAGAAGCATTTTTTTCTTATTACTGTCCCTAGAAACTCGTATCTTTGAATTCTCAGATGGAGTTTATATTTTTTTCCTTCCTTAGTTATAAACAAGAGGATTATTATTATTATTTTTTTTACCATATTAGCTATTTATTGCTGCATAATAAATTACTACAAACTGAGCAGCTTGAAACTATACAACTTTATCTCATCATTCTGTGGTTCAAGACTCTAGGCATAGCTTAGCTGGATCCTCTGCTCTTAAATTTTTCACAAGGCTGCAGTCAAGGTGTCACCCCGGGGTCAGAGTCCTGTCTGAAGGCTCAAGAGAGAAGGATCCCCTTCCTGTGGTTGTTGGCAGGATTCAGTTCTTCATGGGTTGTCAGACTCTGTTCCTTGCTGGCTATCAGCTGGAAGCCACCTTCAGCTGCTTGCCATGTGGGATTCTCTGTTTTTAACTTATTTGATCAAAGTCAGCAAGGAGAGTCTTTTGGCAAGATGGGAGTTACATGTTATATAACGTAATCATGTAAGTAAAATCTCTTCATCCTTCCTATATTCTACTGATTAAAAGCAAGTCAGAGATTCTATTTACAGTTAAGGGAGGGGTATCACATGTAGTTGTGATGTCTAGGAGGTGGGGTAACTAGGGCTATGTTGGAGTCAGTCTGCTACAGGTATCTTTAAGATTCTTATGCAGAGTGAGGGAAGAACAGAGAATGGCTAACACTGTGATTAGTAAAGAAGTAGCAGTAACTCATATTAACCAAGATGGAGGGGTATTTGGTCATTTTTGTGCCTTTGATAGTGTTTGCTTTTTTTTTTTTTAATTTGTATTTAAACATGATTATGTAGTGGTCTTGTTCATTTATCAGAGTCACAGATGTTGGTGGCATCTGTTGCACTGTGTGATATTGGTGTCCTATAAAATTGTTTATGTTCAACAGAGCACCAAGACACAAGGTCAGCAGCTAATAAGATCAAGATCTAACTGATGGTTCACCAGCAATTCCTAGTTTTCAGAGGTTGCTTTTCTCTTTCTCCCAGGGCAACTTCCATTCCTGCAAGTTGAGGATTATTATTTTGGTCATAAAAAGTCAGGTCCAGTAGAATTTCAAAACTCAAACTCTGCTCCATTTGAAACCTCCTTCCCCTCTTGGCCAGACTCAGAGTTTGAGATGTAGGCTGGAGCCCTTATTCCTACTCACTGTGTTTGCACATGGAGGGACATCCCCAGAAACAAAAACAAAAACTTCCAGCCCCTTTTCCACTTCCAGTGAAGTGTGAATTGGTGAATCTGGGAGAACAGACAGGGTCAAGTATGCTCAGGCTCCTCTGGGTACCGTTTCTGGGGTCTAGGCTGATGGCTGTCTTCTTATTGGCATTTGGCTACACTGTAACTTGGTGGGGCAGGTCTGTGGCCTAGAGGCTGTGAGGTATGTTTCTCTGATTTTTCTTTTTTAAATCTTCACCAGAGGATACATATGGGGGGTCGGGGAGAGAAACATAAATGTGAGAGAGAAACATCCATCGGTTGCCTCTTGCATGCTCCCTGACTGGGGATCAAACCTGCAGCCAAGGCATGTGCCCCGACCAGGGACTGAACTCACAACCTCCTGGTGCATGGGATGACGCTCCAACCATCTGAGCCACCCAGCTAGGGCTTGTTTTCTGATTTAGAGATGGATCAGTATCTAGCCCTCTTGATTTCAGATCTAAGCCACATTCTCCAAACTAGGTTGTTTTTCTTTTTTTTAATCTGTGGCAAGGCTGGTATTTTGATATCCATTCGTCTTATTACTATGTCTTCTTCACTTAGTTCTGAACTGGGATAGGAAGAGGAAAGTTCTGAATCCTTTAATGGCCATCTAAAACCCCCCATATTCCAATAGGGGGGAGGAATGTGTGTGTGTTTTCTTTTTGCAACGACTCCTCTCCCACACTTTCCACTCTGGCTTGCTGTGGTTCATGGGCATGGAGTAGGACACAAAGGATGGGTATGGAAACCCTCACTGGCTGGATTGTAAACTGATGTCAGGGCTTCCGGGGTGGGGGGTGGGGGTCGGGGGAGAGATGAAGAAAAGCTGGGGCTCTCTGGCTGTAGTCCTTTCCATGTCAGCACTGTTTCCTCCAGTCAGACATTCTCATCTCCCCTCACTCTCAGGTTTCTACCGTACACCCCGCAGGCCACTCTGTTGCACCCAACACCACCCCACTCCCTGTCCAGCTGTCCCTGTCAGGCTTGGCCACTCACTCTTTTCATCTTTCTCTCCCCTCTACTGTTAAGGCCTTGTTGTACCTTTAACTTACCCTGGGAATCTCAACACTCTACATGAGGCAAGAGTGAGGAAGGAGGAAACTCTGGAGGTGACTCAAGGCTAAGATAATGGATATTGATACAAGGAAGAGACCCTGTTCTAAGAAAGGTTGTTCCTGCTTTTGCTCTGAATCATGAGGCATCGTGAATGCACCTGGGCAGAAGATGCTACATGACCTTCCCTTCATTATAATATCATTTTAATAAATTAACATCGTGGGACCCCCCCCTTCCCTGGTGGCCAATCAAGAAAAATCATGGGAGACCACATTCACAGAGTAGCTTTAAAGTAATATAACTACTTGTACATGCGCAATAAAACCCCGCCAAAGCTAGCCAGGAAATACCGGCCCTGTAAGGATAGAAGCCCTAGCGCCCCAGAGGTCAATCTCTGCTCAGCGTTGACCTGCTCCCAGGTTCTGTGGAGTGTACCATGCTTAATAAATCTGCTCTCTGTCTGCTATAAACCGTCTGTGCCTTCGGTTCAATTCTTTGTCCGCAATCACCAAGAACCTGGTTACCTGTGCCCCCCTGTGACATAGGGACCCCTATGAGTAGCTAGCTGATGCCCTTACTTGGCTCCTAGGCCGCAAAGGCTCCTGGCGTCTTGGCCTCACCAGCCCAGTCCCAGCGGGAACCTGGGGCGCAGCCTCCTGAGGAGCGCACCACCCTTTCCCCATAGCCCCTCTCCTCCGGAGACCTTCCCACCTCAGCGGGGCCCGGGAGCCGCCCCCCACCATCTTCGCTCACAAACTCCCTCATGCACTCACGCACCCCTAGCCTGGCCTCCGCTCTTCCTCAAGGGCAAGAATTCCTCCCTGCCTCCGGTCCTGCCCTTGCTGCTTTCTAAGCCCGAGCCCACGGCTCTCCACATCCGCCTGCCCTCCGGTCTCCGGCGGGGCGGGACCTCCCTCACCTCCTAAGGCCATCAGGCCTCCGCCCGGCTCTCTTCAGCTCTAGAGGCGGGGCTTCACCCGCAGGTAAGGTCCCGCCCACCCAGCCCCTAGTCCGCCACCCTCAGCCCTAGCCCCGGCCCCGCCCCTAGGATCCCCTCGCCTGATCGCCCCGCCCATTCATCACCGTCCCGCCCACGGGACCCGCCCATCCTGTCTAGGTCTGCTCCAGATCACGCCCCAGGCCCCGCCCTGCCTTCCCTTACCACAATCTCCTAACCCAGGCCTTGCCTTCAGCGCGGTGGGGCGTCTCGCGTTCCACCACTGCGATGGCTAGGCACGGCCTGGGGCCCACCCTCTCAGCGTACTGATTGGCTGCTCGGGCATCTTCCCACCACGTTTAGCGTGTCAGGCGAGTAACGCTCCCGCAAAGGTTCGCGGAGTGAAAAGAGGGTGTTCAGGGATCTGTGCACAGGTTGCGGAGATCCAGCGCCAGTCATGACTGAGGGCACGTGAGTCCTCGCGCTCGGGACCCCACAGGAAGGGAGAGCGCGGTCGGGGCTCTGAGATTGGGCCCCAGCGGGGAGGGGGCTTCCGGCCGAGGCCTCGCGTGTGCTGGGGATCGCCTGGCGGGGGCTAGGCTGAGGGGAGCCCGGTGGGATGGGGGTCCTGCAACTAGAGGCCGAAGTGGCGCTAACGATGTTTCCGTTTTGGGAAGTGATGATAACGGCCTGCCTGTGGGCTGTTGGAAGAGAGGCCTCTGGGCTCTGAGGTAAAGAAGACGCAGGATGGCCAATCGTTTTCAGGTGTCTGCGTCGTAGAGGGGGACCCTATAAGACGGAGCCCGCCACTGACCTCAGCCGCTGGCGACTCAGCACTGAGAGGGGAAGGGAGGTGTGGACCTATTTTCAAGAAGAGGACGACCCCGGCCGGGAGCAGACTGCGCTGGAAGCTTACTCCTTGGGGTCGGACACTGTAGGTGCTCCAGTCTACTCCTCACACAACGTCTGGGGCTCCTGCGCGTGTCCCTTTCTTTTCCCTAGCACCACAAACCAACGGGGAGCTTTCACAAGCTACTTGTGGAGGGTAATTTTTCCCTGTTAAAAAAGAAGGGGTGTGTAATGTGGGGCCTGGGACACAGGTCACCGAAGGCGGTTCTTACAGGAATCAGTCGCGTTAAAGGTAGGGAATGGGTGGAATGGACCGGTTTGCTTTAATTCCTCTGTCACTAGGTCACGAATAAGAGTCCGTAGGGGTTTGTTTTTTTTTTTTAATTATTCAGAAATTGACCCAAGGAATTTCGTATAAGAAATTCAGCTAGTCAAAGAGTATGCAGAATAAATGGGACCTCCCGGTTGAGCCCTGGCCGCCAGTCGCTGCCTGTCGCTGTGTGACCTCTTGGACCCTTCCTGTGAGAGGCCTGCGTCCCAGGTCTGGGTGGACGTCCGTGCCCCGCCTCACACGCTTGGGCCTTTGGTTGATTTATTTAGGATGTCTTAGAGAAGTGAAGAAATTTAAAAATAGGTTTGGAAATCAAAACCATGAGAATGTGGAACTATCCTTTTGCTTTGCTGAGATGGCAGTACCATCATCAACAAATTTCAGGTTTTTGATTGAAACAGGTAAAACTTTTACAGTAATTCAGATTCATCGTTTTGACTTGGGCTGTCAACGATGAGGGCTGCTTTAGCCTGGCCACAGACTTCCCTCAGGTCTCATCTCTTTTCTCCTTTGCAGGGGAGTTACTTCAAAGACTTGCCCAAAGCCCACACAGCCCATGAGGGGGCTCTGAATGGGATAACATTTTACATGGGGCTGCAGAGCGAGGATGGGCACTGGCCGAGTGATTATAGCGGCCCACTCTTTATCCTCCCAGGTAGGAGGGTGCTGCCCTGGCCTGTGGGTGAGGGCACCCTGGGGTGTTATTGGAGGACTGGCCTGACCTCATTCAAGCCCTTGGTGTATGTCTGTGGTGCGAATGAGAGAGCAGGTGAACACCCAGGAGATCACGTGGAAAAGGGCTGGGGAGGGTTACCCTGCACCCTGCTTCTTCTGGTGTTGGTCCTGAAAGATGGGAGTGAAGGCACAGCCAGCCCAGTGTTCAGACAAGGGAAGCAAGTGGTGGCCTGGGGTGAGTGAGAGAAGGGTGACTCTCGAGTTCCAGTGCAGTGCAGTGGGGCACTCCAGGTGGAGGACTGAGCTTATGCAAAGGTCCCCAAAGTGGGCAGGGTAGTGGGTGGGCATCTTTTAAGTCCTCGGGGGGCAGCTCTGGCATGTGAACTCACCTTGAAGGGGTGGCTGAGGAGCTCAGCCAGGTGAGCTCTAGGTTAGGAGGATTGCTGCTGGGTTTGGCTAGACATGACTATTGCATCCTGTGAATATCCCTTAAAGAAAAACTCAGTCTTGTAGTATGAGAAATCACCTTCTATGAATGTATGCAGAAGGACCCTTTTTCCTGGTGGGAGGAGCATTGCAGGCCCCTTGAGCTCCCAGCTCCACTTTGCCTCCAAGTCCCACTGACTCCTGGATTGTATAGTTTTGTATTTTTCTGTCCAGAGGCCCATGGGCCTGTCCTTGAGGGCAAGTCAAGGGCTCTTTCTTTCCTTCCACCCAACTGGAGCCTATTGAGACTCTTCCCAGGGTCTGCTTTGACCCTAGGCAAAGCCATAGGACTTCAGGTACCTTGGCTGCCTCATCTGTGACGTGGGGATGATGAAAATCTGGTTTGAACATGTGTGCATCACTTTGGTGAGCACTGATTCTGGGGTCCAGCCCCCTGAACTCCAGCCCCGGCCCCACTACTTAGCAGCCATGCCTCAGTTTCCTTTCCTGTGTAAGAGAAGACACTAGCTCTGCTTTCTGCCTATGTGTGTGTTTCCTGTCTTGATCATGTCATGGCTGTTCTGAAAGGAGATGGGCTTATTTTCTGTGAGCCTCTGTGGCATCTCAGCATCTAGCTGTCCTTCTAGGCCATGTCTGTGGCCAGTGTGGCTATCAGAGCTTTGATGCCTCTGAGTCAGAGTCAGGCACTGTTCCATGGCACATTGTGGCTGGGCTCACCCAGAGACCCCTGTGCAGGGTGTCACAGGCATGTGGTTGATGGAGATGATACTGGGACTTGGGAGGGGTGGAGTTGAGGGGACAGCCTATGAACACCATGCTCGAGAGGGCCAGGCAGGGAAGGGAAGTTTCTTTGTAGCTGTTTATTGTTGTCTATTTCCCCCATTTGCAAGGTGACATATGCTAGTAAATAACTTACACAGTAAAAACATATAAACAAGTAAATGTTACCCCACCCAGGGGTGCCCTAGCAGGTGTGGGTCCTGGAGTGGCTGGATGTGCTCCACATACCCTGTGTGGGGAGTGACATGTGTGCTGTTGCTGCTGCACTTGGGACTTGTTCTCACCCTTAGCTTAGAGTCCCTGATGGTGCCAGCAGGAGCAGCCTTTCTGGGTTTATTTCTGTGGGAAGGGGAACCTTGAGAAATGCTCCGTGTTGGAGGAATCCTTGGGAGGAAAGGGGTCAGGCTTAGCAGTGCTGAGAGCCTGCTCCTGGTGACGGACATCTTTTCTGCCACATAGGCCTCCTGATCACTTGCCACGTGGCACGCATCCCTCTGCCGGCTGGATACAGAGAAGAGATGTTGCGGTACTTGCGGTCGGTGCAGCTCCCAGATGGTGGCTGGGGCCTGTGAGTCTGCCTGGCCCTCTCACTGCCCGGTGTGCATGCATGTGCACAGACGTTTTTTTTGTAGGACATGCATTTGTTGAAGGGTGGGGTGGCTGTAACTGTGGACCTGGGGTGGGTGGGGCAGCAGTTCAGCATCACAGTTTGTGTTATAAATTGGTTTCATAACTGGCTGAGAGACTTGAGACCCTCACAGTGAAAACCACCTGGCTATTATCATTAAGGCAGAAGGACATTGTTCTGACTCTGGGGTGGCAACAAGTGCAGCCGTGGCTGGTCAGCTCTCCCTAGTCTCAGCCTGCCTTTCTGTGGTAGGGCTTGATCTGGGATCGGGGCCCTCCTACAAGGCAGTCAACTGCCTGCCCACCCTAGTCGTGGGCTCTGGTGGGCCACATCCACATCACTGGCTTCCATTTCAGAAGCCTAGGGGGACAGCTCAGCCTCTGCTCGTCTCCTTGACAGGGACAGCAGTCTCTTGAATTTGAGGCCCTGGCTCTGGCCCGTGGGTCCCAGCACACCATGACTGATGTTGAGGCCTCATCAGTGCCCTGAGGCAGCACAGGGTTAGAATGCCGTGACACGATGCCCTGCATGTGTTCTGTGCATCATAGTGGTGAATGGGCCTTAGTTGCATCTTGTTGACTGAGGCGTGGGAAAGTAGAGGAGGCAGACAGGATCTGCAGGGCCAGTTTTGGAACTGCTTAGTTGTCATGGGAGGTGGCTGTTTTGGATGTTCCATGTGTTGTCATGTTATGTCAGTGTAGAATGTTTTAGCATTCCTGATTTACTGAGGAGATTAAAAGGAAAGTATTTCTTAATTTCTTAGAAGTCATAAAAAATGTCATTTTGTTACCCCATCTCCTGCTCCTGCAGGCACATTGAGGACAAGTCCACGGTGTTTGGGACTGCACTCAACTATGTGTCCATGAGAATCCTGGGTGTTGGACCCGACGATCCTGACCTGGTACGAGCACGGAACATACTTCACAAGAAAGGTATGCCCTGCACAGTGCATGCTAAGTAAAGGGTCTATGTTACTTCGGTTTAACTAGTTCTTGCAAATGAGAAATAGAAAGAAACACCTTCACCTGAAACACTAGGCAAAATATGTGCAGGGAGTTCATGAAAGCAGAAAAGTGAAAACCATCTAACCTTACCAGTAATTTTTTAAAAAGCAAATTAAGATAAGCACATACCCTTCTGTGTGTCAGGCGGGGCTTCTAGCAGGTGGCATCTCTTCCCTGCCTGTGTGCTCTGAAGGCTATTAATTGCTGCCTTGGGAGGCTCCCTGGCTCCCACTGCCCTGAGAACTTTCCTGCTGCTCTGCAGAGCCTGGCTGGTCTCACACGCCTGCCTCTTGTGGCCATTCCTCTACCTACCTGTCCTTCTGCTCAGCTGCTCACACACAGGGGCTTCTGCTAGCTCCTTGAAGTACCTGTGTGCCTCAGGGCTCTGCTTGGTGCTTCCCCTCGCTGGCATCTCACCGTCCACCCACCCCAGTTCTGTGGGAGCTCCTCATCCTTCGCCTGGCACCGTGGATGTCCCTTCTCTGGGAACCCTTCCTGACCTGCCCAGCTAGATTAAGCCTCCTATGTGCATTCTAACAAAATCCCCTATTCTTTTCACATGTCACTCTCACAGTGATTTTCTCATTAACCGGTCTCTCTCCTCCACCAGCACCCAGGAACTGAATCTTGTCTTCTGACAATACCAAAGAAATAGGGGATGACTAGAGCAAAGAACCTAGGACATGAACCTGGACTGGATAATACCTCCTATAGTAGGGCGGGGCCTGGGTATTTCCCTGGTGACTGTATGCCTTTGTCTTGTCTTTTGCTTCTACAGCAGATGACACTTTCCCCCCCTTTTTAAAATTGAGTCTCTCTTATTTCTTGACCCACTTCAGGAGTGAGCCTCCTCCTTTAGCCTAATATGCTACTTAAGAGAACAAGAAAATATGTAGCCTCAATTAAGGAGACACATCGAGTTCAGCAAGTGGGAACTCTGAATTTTTCCTCTTTCACCTTGTGGGTAACTGCCCAATTTCATGCTTAAAAAAACAAACAAAAAAACCAAAAAACTGCCTGCTTTTGGGTTCCTTGCCAAGCTCCTGCTGATGCACTGTCTCCCCAGGCTCTTTCCTGACTGGGTGCCTATACATCTGTCCACTCCCTGGTGCCCCTGCTGAGGAGATGTGTTTGGGCCACACTTCTTTCCCCGGAGGCATCCTGGGTTTTGGCCTCCTTGTGAAGCACAACCAGGATGGTGTTTTTGTACCTGGGTCCATGCTGCTGGCATGGCTCCAACTTGAGCCAGAGTTCACTGACAACCAGGTTGGAGTCCTGGCCTGCCTGCCGAGTGGGGGCGCACAGGTCAGAGGCAGCTAAGAGTAGCCCTAAGAGGAGAAGACCGAATGTGTGCGCTCACTGCCCCTTATCACCTTCTCCAGGCCCGTGTGGCATGGGCTGCTGTGTGCATTGGGGCCCCTCACCTTGCCAGGTAGCTGCCCGTGTGTGTCCTTCCTGGAGGCAGGGCTGCAAACGCCTCTCCTGGGGTGGACACACACATTTTGGGGAAGCTGCTGGTCCCACCTGGTGGCTGCGGTGTTCAGTAGTCCTGCGCAGCTAGCTCTGGAGCCTGTTTCTCATGGGCCCTGAAGGACTTTTAGCAGGCTTTTGCGTTCAGTTCATACAAGAAGAGCATGTGTGACTCCCAAGGGTCCAGTTAGAGGGAGATGATGTGGGCCTGTCCTCTCCGCAGGTGGAGCTGTGGGCATTCCCTCCTGGGGGAAGTTCTGGCTGGCTGTTCTGAATGTTTACAGCTGGGAAGGCCTCAACACACTGTTCCCAGAGTTGTGGTATGTTTGCCTTTGTGGGGATGTGGCTGCTGGGTCCCTACTGCCTCATTGAGTGGAATGGCAAGGCCCTCGGTCCGTTGCTGCAGACAGATGGAAGGAGGGGGAGGGAGCTGCCCTAGGTTGGACCATGGGATAGATAGGTCACCCTGCAGGGCTGTTACAGAGCATTTGGTGTGCAAGAGGGAAGCTCTGGCTTTGTTGCCTAGATGAGCATGATTGCATCTTGTTATTACGGATGTTATGAGCAACTGCAGAAGTGGAGAGAAGGTAGAAGCCTAGCATCCCTCATCAGCCCCAGCACTGGGGTATGCTGTGCTATTTAATCTGTCATCTTGTCTTTTAGATGGTGAATATTAAAGTTAATCCCAGATATCAGACTTTACCCATGAACACTTCAGTGTGTCTTTGAAGATAAAAATTTTCTTTTGAACAGAACCACATTACTATTTACGTACTCAGCAAAATCAACACTAGTTCCTTATTATCTAATATCACCAATGTCTTCTGACAGTTTGTGAATATCTCATGAAAGCTGGGACATCTCCCCAGAAAATGGTCATATGTATATAAATACCCCATTGTGCCTTGTAGGAGGTGAGACCCGAGGAATCCCGTCAACCCCCTCACTGTCTGCAGGGTTGGGGCCCCCCAGGGAGCCTCAGGGAGGTGGTTGAGGGGCCCTGTGTTAGATGACTTTGGTAGAGGAAGGGCATGAAGTAGAGAGGCCACTCTCTACTGAGATGACAGCAGGGTCCTGATGAAAGGGCTGAGGGGCCAGCCTCCACAGCCATGAGGCGGGGTGACAGTGGCAGAGCGATAGCAAAGTGAAGTGGGAGGAGGGGCAGAGCTCCCTTTGGGGGGCTAGGGTGCTGTGACCCAAGGCCGGCCACTCTGGAAGAGGCAGGAAGGTATCCTGGGGCCCTTCCCAGCGGGCTTGCCAGCTTGACTGTGAACCTCCCTGATGTGTGAGGAGCAGGCTGGGAAAGGCACCGAGCCGGCACCCGGAGGGTGAGGTGTCCGGGGCTGCTGTCAGGGAGTTGTGCTGTTTGTGTCCCTCATGAGGTTGGTCCTGGCAGTTGTTGTTGGTCTTTGCTGGAATTTTCAGAGGGGTGTGGTTTAGAGAGTAAAAGGCAGATATGCAGCGTGGAGGACCAGAGACCCTAAACCTAAAATGTAAAAAACACCCTTTAAAGGGGGTGGAGGAGCTCTTAAGAGAGTGAAGGGAGTGGCTCCAGGCTGGGGGGCGCCTGCCCGCCTCTCATGACTGGGAGCAGGGAGGGAGCCCCATGCCCCACATGCACCACATGTGAGGATGCAGGCTTGAAGGGGGGGTGGGGAAAACACCTAGTGCTCACCCACCTGGAAAGCTGGCCTGACTATGCTGATGTCAGAAGGCACAGGGAGGAGGACACCATCAAAGGCTCAGGCTTAACCGTTTTAAATGAACTTTTTATTTTTGGAATAGTTTTCAATTTCCAGAAAAGTTGCAAAACTAGTCCAGAGCTGTCCCACGGATTTCTCGCCCATTTCTCAGTATTAACGTTCCCTCTTATTGTGGTTCATCTGCAGCTGAGAAACCAGACCATTCTGAATGTCAGGATCCTGAGGGTCCTGGCTTTAGGCTGCATCTGGCTGAGCCAGGAGTGGCCTGTGCCCTGAGGCACCCGGGGGGGTGAGCATGGCTGTGCAGTGCTGGCCTTGCTGACTGGCGCCTGGACATTCGTCCACCCTGAGTCCATGCTTGGGAGGCCTGGGGCTGTGGTGGTGGTGATGGTGGAGCTGGGGCTCCTGCTGATGCCCGGTCTCCCCAGGCTGTTGCCTGACTGGATGCCTGCACATCCCTCTACGTTCTGGTGCCACTGCCGGCAGGTTTACCTGTCCATGAGCTACTGCTATGCCATCCGGCTGAGAGCTGAGGAGGACCCGCTGGTCCTGAGCCTGCGGCAGGTGAGGGCCTGGGCCTGGCTCATCCTCCAGTCTGGCTCCCATGGACCTGCAGAGCTAAACCCCTGAAGTTGGGATGAGGCCTTGCCTCCTGTCCCCACAGAGACTTCCCAGAGGGACTCTTGGGGTGGCATGGGGTACAGGCACCTGTCACTGGGAAGCAGGCCCTAAGGTGGGGTTGGGGTGTGGGGCGTTCATCAGGGTGAGCCCTGTTAGGACAGAGGGAGGAGACAGCTGTGGGCAGCCGGGGGCTGAAGCGCTGCCACCCCCAGGAGCTCTACGTGGAGGACTATGACAGCATCCACTGGCCGGCACAGAGGAACAACGTGGCCCCTGACGACTTGTACACACCGCACAGCTGGCTGCTCCATGTGGTGTATGGTGGGTGCTTCCCCAGGGCTGGCTGAGCCTCCCTGGGGTCAGCTGACACCTGAGATGACGATGAGTTCGTCCTCTCCTGTTGTTTGCGTTATGTGGCAATAGGCCTCCTGTGTATGCCTCGTGTCCTGCCGACCTGCCCTGTCCTCGCCTGTCCAAGGAATGAGCCTGGGGCTTGGCCTTCTAGACGAGCTGAGCCCCTTAGAGGGTGCAGTCATTCTTTCTCTGGGAGAGAGAAGGGCAGTTCCCCAGCAGGCCCGATCCAGGCTCACCTCCCCATGGGACCCCCCACGGAGGCCAGCCCAGGGTGCTGTGTGGGAAAGTAGTCATGTGCCCACTCTGCTGGGCCCTGGATGGTAGCTGGATCCCTGCCCTGTCAACACTGAGAGGTAGCTAGATTTCCACTCATGGGAATCCTTCCAACCTGGCAGGGCAGCATGCCAGGGTGTGCGGGGGCAGGCAAAGTGTTGTGGGTGAGGGGTTTGGGGAGACGGGAGGAAAGAAAGGTGGAGCAGGGCAGGCCGGAGGGGCCCAGGCACTGCCCTCTGCCTGGCTGGGCTGAGGCCAGGACTCCCGCGTGCTCTGTGCTCGCTGATGCCCTCACCTCCACAGCGATCCTCAACCTGTATGAACGCTACCACAGCACCAGCCTGCGGCAGCGGGCCATCCAGAAGCTGTTTGAGCACATTGCAGCCAGTGACCGCTTCACCAAATGCATCAACATTGGCCCGGTCAGTGTCCCCTGCCTGCTGGGTGTTGGCCTTGGGTGGGTGTCTGACCACAGCCCTAGGGTGGGCGAGGACCCAGGATGGAAGACCCAGAGGCTAGACTCTATGGAACTGGGAGTAGGGGTCCCCCTGTAGGTTGGCCCTCTGATCCCATAGGTCCCTGTTCTACCCCATCTGTGTGCTTGGCCATCCTCCCACCCCCACCACCTAGTGAGGCTACCTCTTAGGATCTTTCTGGCCAGCCCCGCCCCTAATAAACCCCATATGCCCTTCTCTTATGGGGTTTAGGGTGCCAGGGATGCTTGGGTTCCATTCCTGGATCTTGCCAAGCCCCATGACATGGAACTCTGCTCTAAGCCTCTGGGCTCCTGACCTGGTTTTGCCTCATGGAGCCAGGCGTGGACACATCTACAAGCAGTGTGTCCAGGTGCACAGCAGCCAGGGAAGGGTCAGGGACTCCAGCTCCTGGCCATATGTGATGGGTGCAGGAGGCAGAATGGTTTTGAGCCCTTGGGTTGAGCGCTGAGGAAGACCCATGACTCTGGGTTCTTGGTGTACACCCAGCCCCGCTCCTGACCCTGCTCCCACATGTTTTTTGGGCCTCATGGGACCCCAGTGGATTGAAAATGATGATGCTCAACAGACCTGTTAGTTGTGTTCCTTTTAGCAGCAATGTAACTCTTGGGCTTTGACCTAACATTGTGTGAAGCACATCTGACTTGAGATGCATGTGGGCTTTAGCCGGATCTTGACTCAGGAGATCCCAAAGTGAAAGGTCTGGACATCTAGAACATGCCACCCTGAGCATGTAGCCTTGTGCACAGGTCTGGTCTCTGTCTCTTCCCTCTGCCCCTCAGACCCCACAAACCTGCTCTGGCACCTGCATGGTGGTTCTGCTCGCTCGCTAGCTGGCTGAGCTCACACTTCTTGCAGGTTGCCCTCCCTGCTCTGCACACACCCTCAACCCCTTTCCGCTTTCTCTGGAGACTTGGTTTCCTGGGACACAACAGTGGCTCTGTCTGTCTTGGGGCCTGGAAGCAGCGGATACTCAGGAAATGTGGGTTAGAGCAAAAGGCCCAGCCTGGCCTGGGTGGGCTGTGCTGGGGCCTTAGTGGGATTGGGCTGCATCCTTGCACGTAGCAGGTCTGGAGCAGAGCGCTGACGGGCCTGTCTCCTGCAGATCTCAAAAACCATCAACATGCTCGTGCACTGGCATGTGGAAGGGCCGACCTCCAGCATTTTCCAGGAGCATGTCTCCAGGATTCCCGATTACCTCTGGTGAGTGCAGCGGAAAGAACCCCGTTGGTTGGTGTCGTGCTTAGTCTGACTGACCTGGCTGAGAGCTCAGTGCAGATGTTTGTGGGCCCTACTGCCGCAGTGGCAGGTGTGTGTTGGTATCTCCAGCTCCATGTCCCAGCAGGGGTTCCGTGGTGTCTGGCATGATGCTGGGACCAGTAATTTCAGGGCTGATGGAAGCTAGGGAGGGTTGTCTGAGTGGAAGGGTCCACCCCATAGCACAAACTCTGGGTGTTTCCAGAAGTCAGAACCGGGAGCCTGTGGGTGGACAGGGCAGCTATGAGTGAATGTCAGGGAGGCTTTGGTGACAAGGGGAGCTGGTCATTTATAGATTGTACCCTAGAGGGGCCTCCTGGCATCCCTTCACTCAGCGGGGGGAGGCTCGGGGGGACACTGACCCCGTGTCTCCTGTGTTGTGGGGCCTCTGGGCACCACTTGACATCCAGCTCTTTGCCCTTTCCTCCTCACAGGATGGGCCTCGATGGCATGAAGATGAAGGTAAGGGCTGCAGGGCTGGCTGCTGGCTTCCTTTGCACCCATTCCTGTCTGTGGGTTTGTTGAGATTCAGAAGTCACTCCTTACAAGGCCTGGCAGTGTAGTAAGCAGCTGTAGGCCCTCTGTCCCATCTCCAAGGGGACACAGGCATTTCCTGGGCTGGGCCACTGCAGGAGAGCCTAGAACCCTAGGGTTGTGGGAGCTCTGAGGGTCCAAGCCTCCTAGGGTCATGGGAGCCTGAGGTTCAGAGCCCCATATGATTGTGGGAACATTGAGGATAGGAGCCCCCAAGGGTTGTGGGAGCACAGAGCGTCTGTGGCTGCCATGTGGGAGCAATCCGTGAGCTAGAGCAGTTCAGAACTGCAAGTCAGGAGGACACAGTGACCTCAGAGCCCACTCACTGGCCTAATGAAAGTTAGGCCCCAAGCAGGAGGAGTGCCCTGTCCTGCATACCCCTAGCCTGCACAGCCGTCGCCACCTCCAAGGGTTTGTGGCCTCGTCCCCCAACCCTGAGAGGCACTCCCATGGGGCCTTCTCTGCATGTATCCAACTGGTTTGTGCTGTTTGGATGTTGTAGGTAATCTAGCACCAATAGCTCCCCTGCCCCACCTCCCAGGGCATTTTCTGATTGTGGCCCTGGGGTGGGACGCCACATTACTGGTCTGCCTGGGCTGACCTTCTCTGGCTGCAGGGGCCCTGGTTCTGTGTGTTGCACCTGCCTGGCTCATTGTGGGAATGCAGAGGTTCCAGCAGCGGCCTTGGGGAGCTGAGGCCACGGGGCCTTGGGACGGGGCTTGGGGTCAGCACCCCCTGTGCAGAGCTCACCTCAGCGCCCTTGCCAGGCACACCCTGAGCCCCTCTCCCAGCTCCTGACTCCCACACTGCCAATCTCTTGTGAAAGGATTTTCAAAATATGCCAGGTAGGGGGAGGACAGCAAGCCCGCATGTGGGCCCTTCAGCGCCTCAGCGCACGAGGGCGTCTTTGTCTTTAGGAAACCTCTGTGCTGCTGCCGCTGCAGTCAGGGATGCCTTAGTGTGGCCTGAGATGGTTTGTTGGCATCAGGACTAGAGCCCAGTGGCTGATCCTGAAAGTCACTTTCAGCTGTCTCCTCAGTGCCTTTCCTGGCAGCTTGCCTCTAAAGGGTCTGCCTTTGGGATCTGACCCATTGCTTCCCTTGGGTCCAGTATTTTCTGCAAACTGGCAGTTAGGCCCTGAGGCTTGATCTTGTTCAGGTTTCTTTTAGCCAGGTGGCTCTCCTGGTTGTGCACGTTTCGACACACACACATCCCTCTGGGCCAGGATTACCTGCTGCCCTGTTACTGCTGCCTATTGGTCTGGGTTCAGGTGTTGCCACTCCCATCCCTGTTATCTGTGTGTCAATTACTGTCCTGCTCCGTTTCACTGGGGTGTGGTCATTGGTGTTCTGGTGGGACCAGAGTGCTGACCAGTGAACCAGGCTCCCAGGGTGGGATTTGAGGGGGGCCTACCCAGCTCATTTGAGGCTTCAGCCAGGCCCCACCACCTCAGAAGTGGAGGGTGTTTCTGGACATTGCTGTGAATGGGACCAGAGTCTGTCATTCGGTGGGTAGATGCCACAGGCAGTGGAGGCCTCAGGTGGTGGTCATCCAAATCCTGAAGTGCCCTGACACAGTCCTGACCTGGCTGGGGCCCAGTGAAGGCAGGTGGGGCTGCCTGCAGTACCAGCAGCCCCCTCATGCCTACGTGAGATTTGAGGGGTACACAGAGCCCAGGGGATCAGGGGATCTTTGCAGGATCTGGTGGGAGGATGCTGCATTGGCTCCTGTAATGGCTCATCCTTTGCGTGCAGGGCACCAACGGCTCGCAAGTGTGGGACACCTCGTTTGCCATCCAGGCTCTGCTGGAGGTATGTGGGTGTGCCTCTCTGTTCCTCAGCCTTCAGCGGACCTTCCTGTGCCGCCATCTCTGTGTCCAGCATGTACACTTGCTGACCCTGACCGTTCGCTTTTCTGAGCTCCAAGGCCTCTGGCGATGGTCCAGCTGAGGCTGGGTCTTGCCCAACAGCTCAAGGTGGTGGGCTGGCTCAGAGACTTCTGGAGCAGGGAGATTGGAGAGGCTCTGTCCCAGAAGACAGGGCAGTGGGGGCTGTTGCAGGCTCTTCTCAAGCTCAAACTGCTCTTCTTGGACACTTTGGAAAGCCACTGAGCACGTACCAGAGAAAAACGAGAGTGTGTTTATGGTCCCATGAGATGAGGTCACGGAATCCTGGGGAGGCCTGAGGAGGGGTCTGGGCTGCATGGGGCCTGCCTTGGACGGGTCAGGACCCTGTGGGTGCGGGTGGGCAGCTGTGATGTCCCCTCTGCTCACTCTGTTTCTCTGCTGTGTCTTTTGATTTTTCGGCAGATACCCAAGAACCTGGGTGGGTTTGTTCTGGTTCCCAGGGGTGGCAAGACATCACCAGGATCACCTGGAGACTGGCCTACCCACACAGGTTCCTGTAGCCAGTAGCTCAGCTTCTTCTCTTTTCTAGGCAGGTGCACACCACAGACCTGAGTTTTCATCCTGCTTGCAGAAGGCGCATGAGTTCCTGCGGATCTCACAGGTGAACCCTAGGGGCTATGAGGGCCTTCCCATGGCATGGGCAGAGGTGCCCCCTCCCACTCTGCCTTCTCCAGCTCAAGGGGCTCCTGATTGTGTTTCCCAGCAGTAGGTGGGGCTGTGGGTGGTGGGCCTAGGGATGATGCCTTGAGGGCTCCCTTAGGCCCCAATGGCTGAGAGGCCGCAGCCCTGGATCCCCCACGTTCTGCTGTGTCAGCCATGCCCTGGTGTCCGGTGTGGCAGTGACATGTTTCCTCCTGTGCTTTCCATGCATGTCCTTCGGACACTGTCCAGGTCCCAGACAACCCACCTGACTACCAGAAGTACTACCGCCAGATGAGCAAGGTACTACGGTCACACCTGCCAACCCAAGCCCTGGGAGAGGCTGCCCGTTAGCTGGGCCTGGCCTTCGAGCAGGGCTCCTCCCTTCACGTCCTGGGGCTTGGTCCTCTCATGGATACAGGTGTGGGCTCTAGTGATGCTCCTGAGATACCCTGACCGAGGCGTTGGGCATGACTGAGGCAGCTGAGCTCTGTGGGCCTCTTGCCATGCTGTGCACACATCCTGTCCCATGAGGCCTTCAGGCAGACACACATCAAACATGAAATAAGCTGTTGAGATGTGAATTAGGGTGACAGGGAGAGGGCAGAGGGTGGAAAGGCAGTTTATTCAGTGTGCGTGAGAGCGTGGACACAGCTGTCTTTGCAGGGGTCAGGAGTGTGCCTGTGGCTGTGTCTTGTGCCCATCCTGTACTGGGGTCTGAAGGTGAACAATGGGGAGGGGCCACAGTCCATGGGGTTCCTGTGCTGGAAGACTGAGGCTCGCTCATGTGTCTGGGTTGGCGCTGTGGAGGACGCAGTGGCCTTGGGGGATCCCAAAGACAGTGTGGGCTTAGCCTTCCACCCCTGCCTCCAGTCACAGTCTCCATGCTTTCCAGGGCGGCTTTCCCTTCAGTACTCTGGATTGTGGTTGGATCGTCTCTGACTGCACAGCTGAGGCCTTGAAGGCTGTCCTTCTCGTACAGGAAAAATGTCTTTTTGTCACTGCGCACATCCCGCAAGAGCGGCTCTTTGATACCATCGCTGTGGTGAGGCTACTGGGCATAGGGCTCCAGTCCCCAGGCCCTAAGGGTGCCATGCATGCAGGGTCCCTTGGGTCCAGTCAGTGTTACAGATGAGCTGCGCAATCCTCTGCACTCCACGGAGTCTGTCTCAGCCAACACTCAGGGCCAAGAACGCGAGCCAGAGGGGCTCGTCCCCCGATGGTCACCTGTGCTGGGCTGCTGCAGCCCCGTTCTCTCTCTGGTTCCAGTGGCCCATAGACCTGGCTGTTCCCAGGCACCTCCTTCAGGAGGGCTGGCAGTCTCACTGTGTGCCTGATGAAAGAGAAGAAGCCTTTCAGCATGTCCATTTCAGTGCATGTTTTCTAGTGGAGGTCATGCATGCGACTTACAAATGCATGCATGTGTTGGGGTGTCTTCCCAGATGGTTACTTAACGGCATAGCTGATAGATAAAGGTTGAAGCTCACTGTCAGTGCACCCGAGGGTCTTGGTATGATGTGAAGACTAGCTCCCTGCTGCCCACCCCTGCCCATTGGTGCTTAGCCCTGGGTGCTTCTAGAAAGCCCACTCAGCCTTGGGCACCCACACATGCCCAGCTCTGAAGATGTGTGGTCTTTGGTTTTAGTTGCTGGACATGAGAAACCCTGGCGGGGGGTTTGCCACCTATGAGACCAAGCGTGGGGGTTACCTGCTGGAGCTGCTGAACCCTGCGGAGGTCTTTGGTGAGTGGCCGGCCTGCCTGCATGCGGCATGCAGGCGCATTTGCTGACCAGAGCCCTGAGGTCTTTGCCCTGGCTGGGGTCAGTACCTGCAAAAGTGCTGGCAGATGATGACAGAACCTGTAAGGCAGGGGTCCCCAACCTCTAGGCCACAACAGGTACCAGTCTGGGCCTGTTAGGAACTGGGCTGCACAGCAGGAGGTGAGCTTGAATGTGTTGTGCTTGAATCATCCCCAAACCATCCCCCACTCCCTGGTCCATGGAAAAATTATCTTCCATGAAACCAATCCCTGGTGCCAAAAAGGCTGGGGACTGCTGCTTAAAGGAGCCTCCCAAAGACTGGAGTGTTCCATGCTCCTCTCCCTCCAAGGGTAGCCCTAATATGAATGGGAAGCTGTGGTTTTGTCTGGGGTGTCATACCCAGCTCTGGTCCTAGTCTGGACCAACTGCCCTTTCTCCTGAGCGCTCCTCGCAAGGGAGGAGGGGACCTCTCCCTCTTTTCTCGTGCTGTGCGTCATGGTTCTCGTCTGTAAGGGTTGGTTCTTTACCCTGGGTCGTCTTTGCATGCTCTATACCCCTCCTGTAACTGTGAAACCTGGTCTAGTGGAGGGTTTTCAGGGTAGGGTGCAGCTCTGTGCTATGTGCCCTCTCCTTCCCCCTCCTTTATTCTCCTGCTGGCCTGGCTGTCTCACAGCAGATGGGCCTCCAGGTCACTCAGACACCAGGTCTCCTAGGTGTCACCTGCCACCTGGTGGCTGCGCCACGTGGACTGGTCACTAGTGACACCTTACTTGTTTCCTCTAGGCGATGGTCAGGCTCTTGGTGTGCTGTGCAGGCCCCACACATTAGGTGCTGTGTTTTTTTGCCATTTGGCCTGGATTGCTCACAGGCCTTCACTTTCCCAGGAGACATCATGATTGACTACATGTATGTGGAGTGTACCTCAGCCGTGATGCAGGCGCTGAAGCATTTCCACAAGCGGTTCCCAGATCATAGGCCGGGAGAAATCAGGTAAGGGCAGCCCATCCACTCAGCCGCAGGTGCCACCAGCTTGGCAAAGAGCTCAGACACTGCCGTTGTGACATTGAGAGCCATTGTCCTCTACCTAGGGCCCTGGAGTGAAGCTTATTTAGACATGGGAGGGGTTTCCAATGTTCCTAAACCCAGTTTGCCCTGTATACTGGGTCTCCAAGGAGCACAGTTATAACACAGAAGCAAGTTGTTTTGCACATCTTAATAATGTTAGAGACCCACACCTCCAGCTCTACCTGAGTTCAAATAAATGGTAGCTTTTAAACCTTTCCCGTTGAAGCCTGACACCTGTGCAGAGCAGTGTGCAGACCTCTGTGTGGTGATGGAGGAACTGTCCTGAGGTTGGCAGAGTGTGTGACCGCAGGGAGCACACAGGTTACCAGAAGCTCCCCTCCTGATTCTGTGGTTGCTGCGCTCCTATATCCGAGGACCCAAGGTGGGGACTTGCAGGCCTGGCGTCCTTCACTTGGCCTTGTGCTCAGGAGGCTGGGCCGGTAGAGTAGCTGTTCACACTGTCCTTGGTCATCGGTATGCCTGCTGAATGCACCTGCTTGTCATGGGTCTGTGGGGGCTGCTCGTGGTTATTATGTATCATCCTGCTGTGATCACGTGATCATCTTTTGGGCACAGAGGACGTCCAGGAGCTGTGTCATAGCCACAGGGGCACATGCCTCGCCTTCCCTGTCTGGTTTTGAAAGGCTCGTGCTGGGTCCCTACAATGAAATAGGGAGTGTTTATTTCTCTTCTTTGTCCCTGGAAGAGTTTGTGTGAGATTAGGATAATTGTTCATGATAATTTAATAGAATTCACCTATAAAACTTTTAGGCCTGGATTTCTTTTTCTGGGAAAAGTTTACATTTTACACTCACGTCTTTAGTAGTTATAGGACTATTCAGGATCTCTGTTTCTTCTTGAGGTCATTTTGGTAAGTAATTTTCCTAGTAATTGGTACATTTTATTTAAATTACAAATGCATTGCCTAAACTTTTCTTATTTTATCTTAACTTTGATTTCCATTATACCTGTAGTTGTATCCTTTTTCTTCTTTCTCATTTATTTGTTCCTTCACCTAGGTATTTGTTCCCTATTGCTGAGGAACAATATTACTGCACACTTGGCTTAAAACGATGTGCGGTGATCACCTCTTAGCTTCTGGGTCAGGGGTCAGGCTTAGCGGGGTCCTGTCACCGGCTGACTGCTGTCTTGTCTGAGCATTGGCTGAAGAAGATTTGCGTCGAGCTCGTGTGGTTGTTGGCAGGTGTCCATTTCTTGTGCAGTGTCAACCTCAGGACTCATTGTCTTGTTGGCTGTTGGCTGGAGGCCACCCTTCATTTCTGGACCCATGGGCTTGAGCGTGGCTTTGTGAAAGCTGGCAGGGGAGAGAAGCAATAGAGAGGGACTCTGCTGGCAAGAGGGAGGCCAGAGCGTCTCGTGATGTGGTCACAGGAGTGACATCCCATCCACTCTGCAGGAATCTGTTGGTTAAAAACAAGTTTCAGGTGCTGCCCACACCCAGGACAGATGACGTGGGATGAGCCCTGGAGCCAAGGGTCATGGGCACTTCAGTTTGTACTTGTGCCTCCTCTCTGGCCTCTTCAGAGAACCAGTTTCTTTTTCGAAGTACCTGTTAGACTTGTGATGGAGCTTCTCTGTCCTCTCAATCTTTTGTTTTCTCTCTGATGTTTTATTTCTTTTTAAAATTGCATCTTGTGTGATTTACTCAAGCCTGTGTCACCCCAACACCGTTTTCAGGGATATCGATCCTGTTGTAGCTGCTTCTAATGTTGGTTCCTCCTTGAGTGTTTGCCCCCCTCCTGCATTTAACTCCTTCCTGTGTCCTGTACATGTGTGTGCATGTGTGGGCAAAGTTGCTTCTGCTTTGACCTTGTATCTCCTCTGTGAACTGTATGTTCATTTTCACATATTTTTAAAAGGGAGACCGTAGACTGGGTAGAAATGAGTAAGTTGCTGTTTTGCTGGAATGTTCATTGGCCTGTCCCCTTGTGATGCAGGGAGACCCTCAAGCAAGGCCTGGAGTTCTGTCGGCGGAAACAGAGGGATGATGGCTCCTGGGAAGGGTGAGTGAGCTGCGTGGGACCCGGACACGGCTGCACTCACAGTGCATGTGTGCTGTACCAGGGGCCTCGGGCAGGAAGCTGCCAGCCACAGGGTTCTGGTCCCTTGTGAATGCCAGCCCTTCACCCTGGCGGTGTTTGGTAAACGTGTTGGTCATACTCTGGGGCCCATGCCTTGTTTTTTGGGCTGGATTATTCACGTCCTCCCCCTGGGTTTGGATCAGTTCCTATCTTGCTGTGGTTCCAGCAGACAGAGCCGTCTCTGAGGGCCATGGGCAGGCCTATCTCGCTGGCCTTAAAACTCTGCTGTTGGTGTGGCTTGTGAAGGCTATGTGGATGTTTTTCTAGAAAATAACCACGGCTTCCCCATGCTGGAGGGTGTTCCATCCTCTCAGATCCGCTATGAATGCTGCCTGGGTGGCTGAGGCTCTGTTTCCCTGTGTCTCCCTCCAGCTCCTGGGGGGTTTGCTTTACCTACGGCACCTGGTTTGGGCTGGAGGCTTTTGCCTGCATGGGACACATTTACCGAAATGGGTGAGTAGGCATTTGCCCCCTGGTGGGATGGGGTCTTCTCAGCATGATGCTTTGTTCGGGGGAGAGTATCTTCCTTTGATGTTTGATTTTGGGGGTGTTTTTACATTTCTGAAGTAGCAGGAGGGGCTAGAGTCCAGGAGACATACTAGATTGGGTTAAGGAATGGCAGAGGCCTCAGTCTGAACTGTCCTCCAGGTCTGCCTGGCTGGGCAGGTGTTCATGGGGTGGTTCATTGCAGCGAGGCCGCCTGCAGCTACAAAGTGTTTTACCTTATCCATGGTGGGATGGCCTCAAGAGCAGCCCCCCTTCCCATGTCCCTAACAAGACCGGGGCAGGGTAAGGACACAGGGCCTTGAACCTCCACTGTGTGACGGTGTCTCTTGTCTGATGTCCCCGCAGGGTGGCCTGTGCGGAGGTCTCCAAGGCCTGCAACTTCTTGCTGTCCCGGCAGATGGTGGACGGAGGCTGGGGGGAGGACACTGAGTCCTGCAATCAGAGGCGTTACATGCAGAGCGCCCAGTCCCAGATCCACAATACATGCTGGGCCCTGATGGGGCTAATGGCCGTCAGGTGGGGGCGCATGAAGGCAGGACTCTGATCCTGGCGAACTGGGCGGGGTGTGGGCGGCTGAGCTCTGCATGCAGGGTTTTCGGGGCAGAGTTGTAAGTCCATCTGAACCAGCGGATTCCTGAAAAGAGGCTCACCGTCACAGCGACATGACAAGGGACATGAGAAGCCCCAGGGAAACAGGGCAACGGTTTGAGGTGTGAACAATCTACAGTTGCGCTCCGTAGTCCTGCCTGTGTCCACAGCGGTGCTCAATAATATGTGTATGCAGGCAGATGTGCACAGAAGTGAACATGTGCAGATGTGCACACACATGCAGATGCCCACACATGCACACACACGTACACATGGATGTGCACAGTATCCCAGTCTGTACTGCCCTGTTCAGTTCTGGGCCATTTGGGGAATCTTTCTAAAACCCCCTACAAGCTAGGCCAGGCTAGCGTGAGCAGTGTGGCCTAGTCTGTGGCGACTTTGGGGACAGGGGGTCAGCCCCCCTGTCTGCCCTCCACAGCTGAGCTTGGTCCTGAACCTGCAAGGATGAGCGAGGTTAGCACCCGTGGCTTCTGTGGCCCTCAGAGGTCCCCGAGCACCAATGGGTATAGTGGGCGCCAGACTTGGCCACCTCTCCCAGGGGGTTGCAGAAGAGCAGCACCTCGTGGCAGGGACCAGTGCGGTGAACCTGGTGCAGGCAGGACCCCTCATCGCCCTCAGTCATGGGGCTGCCCACTGGGCCTGCTCAGATCCGCACTCGCTATGTCCTGTGCTTCCCAGGGCAGAGCTGTGCCGCGATGGCCTGAGGTGTGCTGACTGGCCCTAGTAGTGCCGCTGCCTTGTGGTGTCGGGTTAGGTTTTTCACGTTGGTCCTGGGCTGCGCTGAGGAGGGTGAGGGCTGGGTTTTGGCTGCAGCCAGTGGCAGTCTCATCCACAGAGTGGTGACATTGTGTTGACTGCCTCCTCTTTCTGCAGGCATCCTGATATAGAAGCCCTAGAGAGAGGAGTCAGGTGTCTGCTTCGAAAACAGCTCCCCAATGGAGATTGGCCCCAGGTATGCTATGGGGGGCTCAGCCCTGACCTTGATTTTGCATCCCCTCCTGGCCCTATGTCCCTCATGGGGTGCTCATGGACACAGTTTAGCTTTGGGGATTTGAGATTCAGAAACACCACTCATGAGTAGCTTTTGTTGAAAGCAGATCTGTGATGGTCCTTGAGAATCTTACTGTTTGCAACTGAAGCACTGGCTTGGAGGGCAGGGCCGATGGTGCCAGGAGATGCTGGGAGGTGCAGGACGGCCCTCGGGCTCTGCCTGACAGCTCTTCATGCCTGATCCCTGCTGGCATGGGGTCACGAGGTCATGTGAAGCTAACTCTTCTCCCCTGGATGAGTCTGGGGTCAACACGCCTGTGCGGGGCTGGTGACCAGACCGGAGGGTGCTGCAGGTGGAGGGCTCTGAGAGCTGGGGGGACTGCTGCTGAGGCTCTGCCGTTCCGGCCCCCCATGAGCCAGCCAGCTCTCTACCTGCGGTGTCAGCTCAAGGGGCCCCTTGGCTACCTGGTGGAACCTTTGAGCTGAAGTCTCTGTGTCCTTTCAGGGAAACATCGCCGGCATCTTCAATAAGTCCTGTGCCATCTTCTACATGAACTACAAGAACATCTTCCCCATCTGGGCGCTTGGCCGCTTCTCCCACCTGTACCCTGAGAGTGCCCTTGCCCGCAACAATTGAGAGGGAGCCTACAGGCGTCAGGCTGGTGGGGCTGCTGAGTGAGGTTGGGGCGTCTCTGACACCGGAGCCCTTGGAGCCCTGCCCCTCTGTCCCCACTCCAGTGAATTCTGGAACCAGGCCTGTGCAGGGGCAGGGCTGGTGGTTTAGACACTTACCATTGTAGGGCTAGTGTGAGGGAGAAACAAGATGAACTGGGAAACTGGAGAAGGCACAGCGTGTCTGCAGCCCCCGGGAGTGGTCAGTACCCTTGCATGAGCACAGAGCTGGGAGGGCTTTCTTGACCAATAATAGTTCTCAGCCGTTGTGCCCTATCCGCCTCCTGCTTGGTGCTGGGCTCACTCCTGGGGTGGCTCTTCCTCTATCTTACTATCTGTTGGACTGAGGGAGGTGACAGCTTCCCTGAACAGCCTGGGACAGAGAGGCTGGGCCTGCCAGTTCACCATGCCACCGAGGCCTTGGTGAGCGCCAGGACCAGACACAGCAACCCGGCCCCAGGTCTCATTTGTCCACGCTGCACCGCTGTGCGTTCAGTTTGAGGGGTGCCAGCGTCCCTGCCTTCAGAGTATATAGTCATGTCGTAATGACAGAAATCCCCTGGGGGGCCAAGCATAACAAAGGGTGAAGAGTTGTTAGTGGTTTGGTGGTTACCACCGTGGGGCACCACTGTGCGCCAGGGACCGCTCAGCACCCCAGCCTGTCAGTCACCACCTACTGAAGCTGACCAGGCACATGTGACGCCCAGGACACACTCATGGCTGCTGTGACCTCATGCCCTGGCTTGCTCTGAGATGGAGTTGGAGCCAGATTTCTGGGCGATGCTCCTCGAGTGGTTAACCTCTCAATTCCTCCTGGCTAGTCTAAACCTGTGTGGTTCGGTGTGCATGGACTTGGGGCTCAGGTGGACCATCTGGGACCTGCCTTTCACCTATGAGCATAAGTGGCTCGTGTGCTTACAACCTCCCGGGGGAGAGCTGTGCGGAGTCACCAAGAGCTTTGATGAGAATAAAACCCAGGCCTGGTGTCACCTCAGAGGCCCTGCCCCAATGCCAACTCCACCTGCCATTTCTCTGTGCTATCTCCTGTACTGGCAGCAGCCCCATGGTGCCCTCCCCTGGCCACCTGTCCTCCCTCAGGCGGCCTTGTCATCACCTGCCCAGAACCCATCAGGGCCCTCCCTGCTTGCCGCGCCTTTGCCTATGTGCCTTCCTCCTGCAGCTCTGTGACCCCTGGGCCTTGTCCCAGACTGTCCAGGCTCATCTGCTTCTCAGTTTCAGGAAATGAGTAGCTGCTTGAAGATAAGCAGGTGCATCTTCAGTGATTTCAGAGAAAATATTTGCCTCAACCTGATTAAAAATCCAGTTCTCTATCCTGGCTAAATCATTGAAGAGTCTTGAATTCCAATGATCTTATTTTCGTCGATAAGACTTTGACTATTATGCTGGGAAATTTTCTTCGGGGTCCAGTGAGGTTTTCTCTATTCATCATGATGTAAACTTCATACCCTTTCCTTTGAGAAAATGTTTTAGCTCACAGTGGAAACTTACCTCTAGGAAAATACTCTACTGAACATAATCACTACTGCTACATAAATTTTCTTTAGGCAATAAAAATGTAAGAATCCATGCTCCCTCCTTGTCTCCCAGCAACTATACAAGAATTGTAGATTGTTCAGCTTCATTTATTTTTCATCTTCATCTGCAATATAAACTTCTATTTATAATTCACTTTTTTCACTAAGGAATTAAGGTTAGAAAAATGAGGCAAAGGGAAATCACGGCAGGAGAGTCTGGTGGGTTTGCAGGGTTGTCAGCACACGAGATACATGCCGGGGGGCCTCATTCCTTTGCTGTCGCTGGCTTCCAGACCTGGTGCTGACTTTCTAGGAGGCCGTGGAGAGGAAGATCAGTGTAAGACGGCCCCTGTGGCGGAGAAGGCGCGTGTGTCACTGGTTGTGGCAGCTCTCACAGCACCACCGCATGGCGCCCCTGGTCATAGCAGAGCCCACACAGCATGGCGTCTGCAGGGGCAGCTCTGGACAGCAGGGGGCGTTTAGCACGAGGTACAGCTGGGGAGCACTTCTTGACCTTGGGCTCCTCAGTGATGTGTGACCTTGATGCCTGGCATTTTCACTTGGACTCTGGTGCCATTCAGAGACCCCCTTCCCACAGGAGGAGGAGGGTGATTATGGATCACTTCAGAGTTTCTTAAGTGTTTTCTCTAGTGACAATAATTCAGCCATTAGTTTCCATATGATGGGGACAGCGATGTGTCTGAGACCCATGCTGACACAAATGAAGAACAGCCGGTTGGTTGGGGCAGCCTCCATCACCTGCCCCACAGCCAGGCCTTGTATGGTTGTGAGATGCAGTGACCCTGAGAACCTGTGTTCCCCCTGGTTCTTGGGAAGCAAGAGGAGCAGGGCCAGCCCCTGGCCAGGCAGGTGAGGTGAGCAGTAAAACCCCTGCACTGGCCAGTAGACTTAAAACCTCAGTGACCTGTTGGGTAATCCACGGGGTGGGGCAGAAGTAGGTTTATAGTCATAAGTATGCAAAAATATTCTTGTAGTATTTATTAATTATTGTATTATTTCCCATACAAACACCTGTAAACCTACCTTTGCCTCACCTTCTGTTGAGAGGTTTAACATACATATACTTGGAGTCTCCGGGGCCGGGCGGGGGGGTGGTGGTGGTGGGTGGGGAGAGGGTGGTCAGGAGGCAGAAAAACTTCCAAAGTAATCATGGCTGAAATTCTTCCAAATATAATGAAATACATAAGCCCAGAGATTCATGAAGCTCAGCAGACACATAGAACAATCACACAGAGCCCCCTTAATAAAACAAAACCAAAAAAGCACTTCATAACCAAATCGATAAAACCAATGATGAATAAAAGTCTTAAAAACAGACATATCATAGGCGAAGAAAGATACGGATGATGGCCAGCTTCTCATTAGGAATAATGAGCTAGAAGGGAGTGGAATGGCGGCTAAGTGCTGGAAGGAAAAGAAAAAAACTGGTCACCTTAAAATCCCATAGAGGAAAGAAAAACAAACCAGAGCTGAAGGGCTTCTCCAGCATCCTTGCACTGTAAGAGATGTTCAGGTTCAGGCTGAAGGAAAGTGGTAACAGACACTGGTGCTCACTAAAGAATGAAGAGCACCAGAAATGGCAAGACTGGGAAATAATAGAAGGCTTTTGCTCTGCGTTATTGAAAAGTTTTTCCTTAAATATAGTTAACTTTTAAAAGCGAAAGCAATAGTGGTGTTTTCCAGGTATGGAGAAGTAAAAGGTATGACACCAATAACAGGAAAGGTGTTGGGGGAGGATGGGAATGTACTGCCGTGGGGGTCTTACCTTCCTTGTACCTGAAGTGGTACATTAGGAAGTGGCATATTATTTAAAGGTAGACTGTGGTAAGTAAAAGAAACCTATTACAAACCCTAGGACAAGGAGGTAAGAAAGGAGGTAAAATAAAGAGAAGGCAGGAAAAAAGAACAAAGAACAGATGGGACAGGTAGGAAACAAGATAATAGACTGAAACCCAACTCTTACAGACAGACCTGTCCTCCAAAGTTCATATGTGACTAAAGTAGGAGACCAGGCTTTTAAGGAGATAATTACAATTAAATGAGGTCTTAAGGGTGAGGCCCTACTGCAACAGGACTGGTGTCTTTATGAGAGAAAGAGACACACCAGGAATGCACAGGCATCGAGGAAAGGCCATCTAGGGACACAGGATGAAGGCAGCTGTTTCCAAGCCAAGGGGAGGGGCTTCTGGAGAAACCAGCCCTGCCCACACCTTGTGCTGGATGTGCAGTTCTTGGAGCTTCCAGAACTGTGAGCAAATAAACTTAGGTTGTGTAAGCCCACAGTCTGTGGTATGTTGTTATGGCAGCCCTAGAATATTAATGTACCAACTGTTTAAATCATTTTATTTACTGTAAAGGGCTAAGTGCTCCACTTAAAAGGCAGAGATGGTCACTCACATTGACAGTGAAAAAGCATGGCCCATATATGCTGTACATAGGAAATTTTAAGTAGAAAACAAAGGATATGAGTAAAAGTTTAGGAAAACATATAACAAAAACACTAACCATAAGCCAGCAAAGATGCCATATATTAATACCAAAGTAGACTTCAGGAAAATGAATGGTACCAGAAATAGACTTATAATAATGATAAGAGCGTCAGTACATCAAGAAAATATAACAGCCCTGAATGTATATGCACCTAATAACAGTTCCAAAGTGTATGAAGCAAAAACTCATGGAACTGAAGAGAGAATTGGAGAAATACACAAAGTGGGAGATTTTATCACTCGTCTCAGGAATTACAGACACAAAATCAATCTTCAACCAACCTGAAGTAATCAGCATTCGTAGAGCACTTCGCCTAACGTTCTTTTCAGGTGCTCACGGACCATTCACTAGGACTGGCAATGTGCTGGGTCATGAGTCTCAAGGAATTCCAAAGGACTGAAAGCATGACCACAGTGGAATTAAATTACAAAAAGATGCAGAAAACCCCAAATATTTGGAAAAATTAAACAACACACTTCTAAATAACCTATGATCCATAATTAAAGCACAGGGAAAATTAGAAAATATTTCCAGCTGAATGAAAATAAATACATGACATGAAAGTTTGTGGGGTGTAGCTAAAGCAGTGCCTAGAGAAATGCTTATTAGTGCTGTAAATAAAGTTTAAAATCAATGATTTTATTTATTTTTAAGATTTTATTAATTTTCAGAGAGAGGAAAAGGGAGGGAGAGAAACATCAATCTGTTGTCTCTTGCACACCCCCAACTGGGGACCTGGCCAGCAACCCAGGCATGTGCCCTGACAGAGAATCAAACCGGCAACCTTTTTGTTTGCAGGCTGGTGCTCAATCCACTGAGCCACACCAGCCAGGGCTAAAATCAATTATTTAAGTATCCACCTTAGGGATCTTAAAACCGAAGTATTAGAAGAAAGGAAATAATAGATAAAAAAAGAAGTTAAATGCTATTAAAAAACATAGAGAAGACCAGTGAAATCAAAAGTTGATGCTTTGAAAAATTAACAAGCCTCTAGGCTAATGAAGCAAGAAAACAACCTATATCAGGAATGAAAAATGTGCATCACTATAGAATCTGCAAACATCAAGCCAGCTGTCCAGCTTGTCCTCTTGAGCCTGCTGACCTGGTCTGGTCATTTCCAGGGCCTGCTTCTTCAGGCTGGTCACCGTCTGAGCTAACTGCCCAGCCTGTCCTGCTGAGCCTGCCTCCTCCCCTCTGGATCACAGTCTCCACTTGTCCTGTTTGCCATACATCCTGCTGCTGCAAAGACCTGCCAATGCGGTTTCTCCACTTTCCCTTTGTGGTTTCTGCCTTGGCCGAATCTATTTTTCCTTCAGGGCGTAAGACTGCGGAGGGGATAAGGCAATATCATGACCACTTAATGCCCGTATTCCACAACATAAATGACATGGGCAGATTCCTTCAAAGGCCATTGCGACCTGGATGGACATGAGAGGAAATGGAAAATTTAAGTAACTGTATCTGTTTAACAAATTGAATTAAAAACTTTCTCAAGGGAAAACTCTAGGCCCAGATGGTTTCACTCGTGAATTTTATCTGACAAGAAAGAAAGAAAGAAACTAACACAAATATCCAGAAAATAGAGAAGCAGGGAATAATTTGCAACTTGTAAGGTCAGTGTGACCTTGACAGCAAAACCAGACCAAGATGTTACAAGAAAAGGAGACACAGTACAGTTTCCCTCACAACATAGTAAATACTTAACATGTCAGCAAGTTGAATCCAGGACTGTATCAAAAGCATAGTGCATCGTGACCAGAACCCTGGCAAAATGCTGACAGGCCCGAGGCTGAAGGGGCTAGCGGGGGGCGGGGGAGTCCACCCTGCGGTCTGTGGGCCGCATGTGGCCCAGGATGGCTATGAATGCAGCCCAATGCAAAACCATAAATTTACTTAAAACCCTTTTTTTGTTTTTTGTTTTGGTCATCAGGTTTCGTTAGTGTTTGTGTATTTAATGTGTGGCCCAAGACAACTCTTCTTCCAGTGCGGTCCAGAGATGCCACAGGGTTGGACACCCCTGTTGGTATCGAGAACATTTTCTTGGCCTGGGAAAGAAATGGGATTTGAATGCAATGGAGGAGCCCATAGAAGGGTCTGTGGGCATCTGTTTTGGGCCCTGGAAGCGTCCACACCCTTCCCCAGGGGGCACTGCCCTCTGATGTGAGGGCCTGTGGGCCCAGAAACCAGGCCACCGGGGGAAGTGTGGGGGACCTTTGGGATTTAGAAGCCCTCCTTCTGACAAAGCCTGACTTGGGCTTGCATTCCTTGAAGTCATATGACAGGCACTGGGCACTCTGGGGAACAAAGGCCTTGTTCTGCCTGGAGACACCTGACCCACCACCTGTACCCCGAGTGTTTTGATGCTGAGTGGGGGGCCCAGCGCAGGAGCTAGAGGGATGGAGGACATACTGCTCCCTTTTCTGTGCTATGTTCCTTCTCTAGAGAGAGGGTCAGGAGGCAACCCTTCTGTTGCCTCGTGGCTTTGGAAAAGCAGAACCAAGACCTTTGGAGCCAGGAAATAGCACAGAGCTCTGTTACCTGATGAGCAGCTCTGGGAAGAGCTTCATGGAGTGGTCCTGTTGGGGGCGCTTCATAGAGGCTGAGCTGACTGCACGCGGGCTGCAGTCGGGCTCTGGCAGGGCTCTGTGAGCCACAGAGCTGCCTGTGATTGGTCCAAATGGCAACTGTGCCCTGGTGGAGGGGTCTTCATTTGGCCTAGTAATGGTCAGTGTTCAGACACTCAGCACTGTCCGTGTAGGGACACGGTCGTGCTGCCTGGGTTCTTCCCACCAGGGCAGTATGGTCAGCAGGCGGCCTCCAACTGCCGGTCCTTTGGAGCTGTTGGAGCTTCTGAGGTTGGGACTGTTGTGGGCCTCCAAGCTTGGCTTCCTCTGCCCTCGCTGCCTCTTCCTCCCTCACGTGTGTGTGCCAACGGTGCCAGGCACCTGTACAGATTCGGGCAGGCTGACAGCCAGCCTCCTAGAGCCTGGCTGGGCCTGGAGTCAGGAAGCCGCTGGGCCAGGAGCCCGGGGGCAGGGTTGCAGGCAGCTGCACCAGTCACTCAGAATGAAGGCGTTGCCCCACTGGGCCTGCAGACTCCCATGGTTTAGATGGCCCAACAACCCTCAGCCTAATAATCTGGCTGTTCTTAGATGGTGCCAGAACTGTCCTGCCTCAGGCCTGGTCCTGTGTGTTCCTTCGGTGGGGCTGGCCCCCGCCTGTGAGCATCTCACGTCCCCCACCTAGACTTTGCTTGGCCCCATTTCCCTCATCTCCCCGTGGTATGAGGTGTCTGCTGTGTGTGCCCCCGATCATGGGTACAGCCCAGAAGTCTGCGGGTGGGGGTGGGCAGGCTGCTGCTTCTTTAAAGTGACATCACAAGGCCGCGGAAGGTGAGGCCATCGTGGAACCCTGGTCTGGGCCGTTTCTGGGGTGTCTGTGGCTCTGGATTTCCATCTCCATGGGGCGAAAGGCCCACACGTGAGCAAGAAGTCATGGCCATGGCTGAGGGAAACGAGCTGATGAACAGGCTCATGAGCGAGAACGCCGACCTGAAGAAGCAGGTGCGGCTCCTCAAGGAGAACCAGATGCTGAAGCGCCTCCTCAGCGAAAGCTGTCAGGAGAGCTGTGGCCGTGGCGGCCGGGACCTCCTCTTCCCCAAGGCACCTGCCTACCCTGAGGATTGCTCCCCTGGGACTGCAGGTGAGGCCCCAGGCAGGCCGGGGAGAGGGGAACTGCTCCTGCAGATGCTGGTCCCTGCCACCTTTCCTTTTCTCAGGCCCCAGGTGCTCATTCCACTGTGTGTCCTCAGGTGAGGCCCTTCTCTCTGAGCCCGTAAGCCCATGCCTGGAAAATGGGGTGTGGTGTGTTAGCCACTTGAGCTGGGAAGTATATTAGTCAGCGATGAGCACATAAGCACTGCCACAGCGGCTTAAAACAGGATGTGTGCGATCTCTGGACCTCCATGCCCACGGGGGTTAGCCCAGCCAGGTTGGCACTTCGCACCGCTGCACGTGTTCCTCCCCCAGGGCCTGTGAGCTCGCCCGGGCTTGGGCATCTCACGGCAGGTTTGCCAGCCACACCAGCTTCGACGCTCTGCTGTCTCTCCTCTGCTCACATGCCAAAGGAGTCCTGTGGTGGAGCCAGCGCCCAGGGCAGGAAGCGACCACCTGTGGAAGGAGGACCTGGTGGGATGGGTGCAGGTCCCTGGGAAGAAGGGAGCTTGGTCGGAGCTGTAATCAGCTTACCACATACCATCCCCTCCAACATTCTTTTTACAGGAAAAAACAAAAGTCTTTGATCACTTGCTGCAAAAATAGTTGGTTCTGATTTACCCATTTTTGTGAAAAAATTCCTTCTCATACATGGAAAGTATGTCTTGGGGTGTGGTTGATGGGCATGGGCAGTTTGGACATGGACCATGGACGGAGCCCTGCGACCAAGCGAGCTCTTGGAAATGGGCCCGCTCAACTGCCTGGCCAGGTGGGGCAGGGGATGCATCCAGCCTGCTGTATTGTCGTCCTGGATCGGACAGCCACTCTGGTGCCCTGCGGACCTACTGTCACAGGATGAGCCCTTCAACGGGGCTGTTTCTGAAGTCCCCCAGCGGGATGCCCCAGGGGAGTGGATGCTGGGCCCTGCGTCGGCTATGGTCACTTCCCGGCGTCCACATGAACACCTGCCACCTCCCTTGAGCAAGGTCAGCGCATATGAAGGCATCTGCCTCCTGACTGTGGTGGCTGCACGGAGCTCATGGGCCCAAAGCCCTTGGCTGCGAGGGTCCTTCATGGCACCCGAGCACCTTGGAACCTCAAGGGGGACCTTAAAGAGGGAGCTCAGCTAAGCATGGGGTCCTCATCGGGGGAAGGTGGGAAGAGAGTGATGCACTAGGAGGGACAGTTGAAGAAACCCTTAGCCCCCAGGCCTGGGCCAACTGCAGCCCCATGTTCTGAGCTCGCACAGTGGCTAAGGCACATGCTTGTCACTGGCGCTTGCTGAGGAGGGACTGGCCTTGCAGTGTCGTGTCCTGAGTGTCACAACCTGGTAAGGATCAATGCTGCCTTCTCAGACCCCTAGGAATGACCAATGTGCAGTGGCTGCCAAGGACTTGTCCACAAGTCTCACCGGCCTGTGACAGCTGCTGAGTCATGTGTCTTGCGCTGCTTCATTTTTCTTCATCCTGATGACTGAGTCAGGCTGGGCCGACCCTCAGGGCCCAGGCCGGCAGTGTGGTCAGCAGTGGGCAGGTGGTCTGGGGTCTTCCCTCATGCTCTGCCTTGTCTGCTTGGAAGGTGGGCTTTGGGAGGGTGCAAACCCTCGCTCAGGCCAGGTTGTTTCTAGAAGGAACCTTGTCAGCATCTACGTCAGAGCTGAGTCTCCTGGGTCACAGGTGGCACCCTTGCCCCTGGGCAAGTCCAGATCTTGCTTGATGTCAGCCTCGAGAGAAGCTCCATCCCCTGGTCAGCCGAGGCCACCAAGTTTCCACAGAGAGGTCTCAGAGCCCAGTGCAGAGCATGGGCCAAGTCCCCGTGGGCCCGGTTGTCCTCAGGGAGGGGCCTCAGCTCTGGACTGGGTCATCCCCACAGCTGGGGCTCTGGCTGTTGAGTCCAGGCCCAGCTCAACCCTCAGCTGCTGCAGGAGCAGCCTGGGCCCCAGGAGCTGGGGAGCCAGCAAGAGTTCCTGCACAAGCAGCAGCGTCTGGCACAGAAGGAGCCTCACAGCAGTGGCTCACGTGGCCCACAGTCCCTCCGCCTCTGCCTTCAGAAAGGATGTGCTTTAAAAACCTGTTTTACTTATTCAACAACATAAATACCCAAAAGGACATACATATAAGGCTGCGCCAGGCTCCTGGCCCCGCTCCCAAAGGCAGCCTCTGTCAAAGTTTGCTTGGCTTTCTCTCCGAAGTTTTCTATGTGTTTATATCTAGGCATCTTTTTGCTTTCACTTTGACTTTCCCGCCACCATCCATCTCACTGCCCACAGGTCTCTTCTGTAGCTCTAAACACACTTAATGCTGGAGAGCAGACTGTCCCATGTGAGGGTCACATGTCCCTCAGCCCAACTCCATGACAGGGAGCATCCTTCCAGCGCTCTGTGACCACAAACAGCCTGATGTATGCCTCTGTGACCTGCTGCAGGGGTGACTGCCTGGGAAATTTTTGGGTCAAAGGCTGTGAGTGGGTGAAACGCTGAAAGGGACACTGCCGAACGCTCCCCAGAAGGCTGCAACCTCTGCACTCCGCCCACGGGGAGCAGGGGCCACCGCTGGCACCTGCCCCACACCCAGCATTGCAAGGCAGCCATGCCAGCTCCTGGGGAAGGGGGTCAGGGCTCCCTGTCGGGCTCCTGTTGGGCTGTCCCCTTCACTTGGGTTTTCAAGGACCACGCACCAAAAAATAGGTATGATTTTGAGTCATTCACACCAGATGGCTACTGTTGTGTTGATTGCTGTCATTTTTTCATTTGGTAGTCTAAGGGAAAAAAGGTCAGTGCCCTTGACTAAATAGTCAGGTATGGCCTGTTTTAAAAATGGTTGCAGCACACCAGTTGAAAATTGCTGCTTTAGAGCATAATTATTTTATAACTTCTAGATTTTTCTTCTTTCCTTATTGTCTGTTTAGGTTTTCTACTTCTTATTGAGTCATTTAAAAATAATTTCAGAAGATCTCTTCTTTTATCAAAATTTTCAGTCAATATGCAATTGCATAGAATTTTTTATAATTTAAACATTTCCTTCCTAGTCATTCTTATATCATTTTTCCCATTTCCAATTTTATTCCTGTATGCCTTCTGTAAAGTAGCCTTCCACAGTTTTGCTATCTTATTGGACTTTCCATAGAGCTGTTTCCAATTTATATCTGCTGTCATTTTTATTATTTTTTAACTTTTGCTTTCCTTAAGAGTTCCTCCCACACCTTGATTTGAGTGTTTAATTTTTTTGATTTTTAAAAAGTAATTAAAGCACTTATGTTACTAATTTCATGTTAATATAGTTTTAAATGTACTGATATCTTAGTGTAATGCTCTGATTTTTATTATTTCTGAATAGTGATTATTCAGAAATATTTTTCTATTTTTATTTTTTATTTTTGACATGATTGTTACTCAGGATAATCCTTTTAATTTTTCAGGGGACAGAGTTTTCTGTCGACTCTTGTTATTCCTTTATAGTTTTATTATAATTTGGTTTAAAATTATACCTACATTTTGGACTTGATTGATGGTTAAATTTTTAAAAAATGTTTAACACAACTTTATTGAAGTCTTGGGAATAGTAGGAGAGAATTGCAATTTACTAAATAGAAGCTAAAGCAAAGCTCAAACTTAGCTGACCACAACAAAAGTCTTTTTAAAGATGGTCATAGATGTCACTCTTCCCCAGGTCCCCAGTGCTGGGACAGAGCCCCCTTTCTGGGCACAAGGCCCCACTCTCCTCTGGGGAAGAACTCAGGACCGAGGACTTTGATGTCGCATGCTGTGAATTCTTGGGAGATATTCATCGACACTTTCTGGCCATGCCATTGGCTGGGGCCCTGAGGGAGCTGCCAGGATTAGCTGTGCTGGCTGTGTGGGCAGACTGGAGGCAGGACTCACACTGATCACTTTCCTTCTGTAGAACATTTCTTTGGGGGAAAGCATTGCTGGGGATAGATTAGTTGGTTTCTCTATAGCCACATTTAGGATTTAATACATTTAATATATTTTTGTAATACAGCTCTTAAACTGTTTTTTTCAAATATATACATTTGTTTTACTGCTAGGAGAAAACCAGTCATGACACAGGTAGAAAGGGATTTCATAAATCACAAAAGAATTGATAGGTTCTATATGGTAAGAGTTACCATAAAAAGGGTTAAAATATTAGCAAGGCACCCACTGGAAGAAGATATTTCATTAACAAGGAATTAAGATGCAGAGTACAAAAAGAACACTACCAATAATTTAAAATGACTACCCAACCCCCTGCCCCCCGAAAAAAAGCAAAGAAGAGACATAGGTAATTCACAGAATGAAAACCTGAGAGGCCTATGGATACATGAGATGTTCAACATCACCACGGATTAGGGAAAAGCTATGTGTCATTGTCAGCTTGGTCTGCACATACCACGGAGTGATGAGGGGGTGGGACCAGAAGCTGCTGGTACGTGTGGGACCGCCGCTGCTACTGTAGAAAACAAAGTTAAACATACACACACCTGAGCCCAGCTGTAGACAACAGAAGTACTCACTGTGAGCAAAGAGGTGGGTCAAGGGATACTGAGCACAGCTTTGCTTTTACAAGAAAACCTGGAAACAGCCCCACATGCAGTAGGGCATTGGATTAAAAAAAAATCACTGTACCCATGTATGTACACATGCACACGTGCCAGGAAATGGTTAAATTAACCGGGTAGCTACCAAGTGACTCAACACGGATAAATCTCAGAAACGATAATGCTGTAGCAAGAGATATGTTGCAGAGTAAAACAGGCATAGGTTGATACCATTTATGTAAAATTGGAAGCAGTAAAGGTCACTCTGTATTGGGTGTGGATGCACAGATGGGTGGAAGCCATCAAGATACACTTGCTCACCATGTCCAGAAACTTGAGGTGGGTGGCTTCCTTGGGCGGGGGTGGGGCCCACAGTCATTGCACCTACATCCTTCACCTTCTCCAGAGGGGAATGGAGGGGACTCTGAAGAGGGGGAAAGGGAGCAGTTGTCAGAGCTTGGTAGGGGGGCTTGCGAGTGTTCTTCAAGTGTCCTCTACACTTCTGGGGATGTTTTCAGAACATCAGCCTGATTTCTCCTCCCCTTCCTCCCTGTCCCAGTTCCAGACATCGGAAGGTTCACCAGCGTTCCTGACGTGCCCTCCCAGCTGCAGACACCCTCCCTGGAGGACCTGCTGTGCTCGCACACCCCCCTCTCCAGCGAGGATGATGCTTCCCCAGGCTGTGCGACCACCTCCCAGGTGCCCTTCAAGGCTTTCCTCAGCCCGACGGAGTTGCGCACACCTCGCAGCACTGACAGGAAGCTCTGCCCACTCCTGAACCCCTTGCAGGACCCCCTGGTGGACAAGACCCTGCTGGAGCCCCGGGAGATGGTGCGGCCCAAAAAGGTGTGCTTCTCAGAGAACAGCCTGCCCTCGGGGGACAGGACCAGGAGGAGCTACTACCTTAACGGTATGGCAGGGGGTGGGGTACCAGGTGGGCACACGGTGCAGTAGCCCGCAGTTGGGTAGGAAAGTTCTGGGTGGACAGTTGGGCATAGCTTCTCCATCCATCCAGCACAGGGAGAGAGTGTGGCTGGGAGTCCAGGGTCAAGGGCTGCTCTGCCTGTTCAAATTTTTTGCGCATTTAAAGAAACTTGAGTTGCTTATCTTGTCATTGGGCTGTAAGAATTCTTCATATAATCTGGCTACATGTTCTTTTTTGGGTATATGTTTTGCAAATATGGTCTCCTAGTTTGTGGCTTTCCCATTTTCATAACTGTTTTTTGAAGAGCAAAACAATCTAATTCAATGAAGTCTGGTTTATTGACTTTTTTCTTTTATATGTTTCATGCTTTTTGTGTCCTATTTAAGAAATCTTTGCCAAACTCAAGATTATAAATATTTTCTCTGATATGTCCTTCTAGAAAGTTTATAGTTTTAAGTTTTACATTTAGATTCTTGGTCAATTTTAAGTCAATTTTTGGATATGTTATGAGATTTGCATTAGATATCCACTTCTTTCAGCACCAATATTTAAAAAGATTATCCTTTCTCCATTGAATTGACTTGACACTTTTGTCAAAAATCAGTTGTCCATATGTGTATTAGTCTATTTCTTGATTCTTCAGTTCGTTCTATTTTTTTTTGTGTGTGTGTCTATGTTGTTTCTAATACATACTGAGTAAAGCAGATTGATCTCCTTAATGTGGGTGGCCCTTATCCAATCAGATGAAGGCCTAAATAGGACAAAAAGGCTGAGCTCTTCCTGCTTGACTGCCTTTGGACTCCAAATGAAACATCTTGGGTCTCTTGCCTGCTTCTCTGGACTGGAGTCACACCATTGGTTCTCTTGGTTTTCAGACCTCTGAACACAGACTGGAACTATATTAATCAGTCCTCCTGGGCCACTAGCTTGCTGGCTCACCCTTCAGATCTTGAAACTTTTCAGTCTCCATGATAACATGAGCCTTTGTTGTTTATAACAAACACACACATGCACACACACATATTGTTTCTGTTTCTGTTTCTCTGGAGAATCCTGACATATGCAACCATGTGTCCTGCAACCTTACTGAACTTAATTATTCATTCTAGCAGCTTAAAAAAAAAATTCCTTAGGATGGATGATCGTGTCGATTGTGAATAAAAACAAGGTTATTTTTTCATTTCTAATCTGTATGCCTTTTATTTTTTCTTGTCTTATTGCATTGGCTAGAGCCCCTGGAATAATGTTGACTAGAAATGGTATCAGTGGGCAGTCATTTCTTTTCTTGATTTAGGGGGAAAGCATGCAGTCTGTCATCATTAAGTATGACATTAGCTAAGGTTTTTGTATATGCCTTCATCAGGTTGAAGAACTGCCTTTTAATTTAGTTTGCTTAGAGTTATCATAAATGGTTGTTGGACGTTTTTGAGTGCTTTTTCTTCATCTATTGTGATGAGCATTTGGTTTTCATTTGTAGTCTGTTGATATAGCAAATTACAATGATTGATTTTTGAATTTTAAAACCACTTTTGTATTCCTGAGATAAATCCCACTTGGTCATGATGTGTTATACTTTTCTGTATTGTCAGATTCAATTTGCTAAATTTTTGTTCAGAATTATTGCTGTCTGTGAGGGATATTGGTCTATAGTTTTCTTGTAATTTCATATTCTGGTTTTGATATGAGGTTAATGTTGACCTCAATGAATGAGGTAGAAAGTGCTCCATTTTCTTTAATTAGCTAGAAGAGTTTGTCTTGAATTGCTATTATTTATTTTTTACATGTTTGGTAAAATTTACCACTAAACTTTGAATTTTCTTTGTAGGAATACTTCCCCTCCACAAATTCAATTTCCTTAGTTCATATAAAGCTGTTCAAATTATTTTCCTTTTTAAAATAAGCTTTGGTAGTTCATTTTACAAAAATAAGTTTTTGTCTTTTAACTGTTTGGTTCATTTCATTCGTCAAATTTATTGGTATAAAGTTATTCCTGCTATTCTGTTATTATCCTTTTAATGCCTGTACGATCTGTGATGATGCCATCTCTAATTTCTGATAGTGGTAATTCTTGTCTTTTTTTTCCTGTAGTAAAAGAGGTTTATCAATTTTATTGTCTTTCTTTCTTTGAAGAATAAGTTTTGGCTAGGTGAAGACCTAGGCTGAACTATACACGATTTCTAGAATAGATCGGGGTAGCTTGTTTTTTTCCACCTAATTTATGCTTTAGAGAAAGAGGAGGTGGGGAGAGAAGCTGATTCCTGATGAGATGAATGTATTGATAGAGAAGGGGGGCATTGTATCCTGCTCTTCTACCCCTCATCTGCCATAACATATTTCTGTGCAGTGTGTCTGGTTCTCAGCTTTAATTCCTGGGTAACTTCTGGAGCCTTGCAATTTGATTAGAGAAGGGGTACACTGAAAACTACAAAACATTTTTGAAAGAAATTAAAGAAGAACTAAATAAATGGGAAAACATTTTGTGTTCATGGATTGGAAGACAGTATCATTAAGATGGCAAAACTTCCCAAATTGATCCAGAAATTTCAAATAAATCCCTCTCAAAATCCCAATTGGCTTCTTTGCAGAAATTAGCAAGCTTAACCTAAAATTCATATGGAAATGCAAGGGACTCAGAATAGGTAAAAAGGATTTCAAAAAAGGAGAGCAAAATGGGAGGACTCATACTTTCCAATTTCAAAATTTACTATAAAGTTACAGTAATCAAGACAGTGTGGTAACCATAAAGATAGTTATACAGATCAATGAATAGAATTGAGAGTCCAGAAATAAACTCATGCATTTAGAGGTTTGATGTTTGACAAGAGTACCAATTAAATAAAGAAAGAATGGTCCTTTCTCTAAATGGTGCTGGGACAAGTGGATATCCACATCCACATATGAAAATTAACTCAAAGTGTTCAAAGACTTAAAAGACCTAAAACCATAAAACTCTTAAAAGAAAACAGAGGTTAATCTTATGACCTTGGATTTAGCAATACATTCTTAGAAATGACATCAAAAGCCTGAACAGCAAAAGAAAAAACATATACATTGGACTTTATTTAAAAAAAGAATAACATTTTACCCTTCACAACAGTATGGATAGACCTGGAGAACCTTCTAAATTAAATAACCCAGTCAGAGAAAGACAAATACCATATGATTTCACTCATATGTGGACTCTAACAAACTGAACTAACAAGCAAAACAGATAGACTATTGATGGAGAACAGATGACAGCTATTGGTGGGGGAAGTTAAGGGGTGGAGGGATTGAGCAAAAAAAAAAAAAAATTACTCATAGACATGGATAACGGGGTGTTGATTGCTGGGTGGAGGGGGGTTAAAGAGACTAAATGGTAATAGAGAAAATATAATAAAGAGTATATATTAAAAACAAAACCAAAAAAATTTAGTGTTTCAAAAGAACAAATTTCAAGAAAGTGAAAATTCTACCTGCCGAATGGGAGAAAATGTTTGTAAATCATGTATCTGACAAGGAATAATTCCCAGATTATCTAAGAACTTTAGCAACTCAACGTAAAAAGATAATCTAGTTAAAAATGGGCAAAGAGCGCCCTCTAGCTCCTGGACACATGAGGACGCAGCAATGGCGGATCCCCAGATGCAGCTGGAGGCACAGTGCATCTGCAGCTTCCTGGACATTCCCATTCCAGGTGTGCTGGCAAGATTGACTTCATTGTGGGCCTAAACTCCCAAGGCTCTCTGTTTGGCCCCTCCCTGGCCCAGGAACTTGTCTTGGGCTGCATGCTCATCCTAAAGGAAGAAAACCTGCCTGGCCCCACAGTGTCTGCCTCCTATGCACTGGAGTATGGGAAGGCTGACCTGGAAATCCAGAGAGACACCCTGGAGCGATGGCAGAAGGTGATAGTTGTGGACCATCTGCTGGCGGAACCATGTGTGTAACCTGTGCGTTGCTGGGCCAGGTGCAGGCCGAGGTGTTGGAATGCGTAAGCTTGGCGGAGCTGACCTTGCTGAAGGGCAGGGGGAAGCTGGGGGCTGAGCCCTTTTTCTCCCTCCTGCAGTATGAGTGACCTCGGGACCCTCCCGCACACCAACTAAAAAAAAAAGAGAGGGCCAGCCTCCATGGCTACAGTGACCTCCACTGCCTGACAGCGGGCCCTCGCTGCCCACCTGGACTTTTTTTTTTAACATCCATTTCTGTGGTTGAGTGACTTTATCCAGCACCCAGGGCCTTCCTGCAGGTTCTGAAAGTATAAAGCTAAGCCCAAGCTGCTCAGGTGCATTTATGAAATGAGAACATGAATTTTTAAAAAATGGGCAAAGAACTTTAATAGACATTTCCCCCAAAGAAGATATACAAATGGCCAAGAAGCATGTGAAAAATGTTCCATATCATTAGTTTTCAGGGGAATGCAAATGAAAACCACGATGAAATACTTCATATCTACATAGATGGCTAAAATAAAAAAGATGAACAATAAAACCTGTTGGAGAGGATGTGGAGAAATTGCAACCCACTGTGGATAATAGTCTGGCAGTTCCTCAAAAGTTAAACATACAGTTACCATGGGTCCCAGCAATTCCATTCCTAGGTATATACCAAAAGAATTAGAAACATTTGTCTACACAAAAATTTTTATATGAATGTTCATAGGAGCATTATTCATAATAACCAAAAAGCAGGAACAGCCCACATCCCTGTCCATGCACTGGAATCTTAATCAGCTCTAATTAGGAGTAAAGTTCGGATTCATGCTACAGCGTGGATGGACCTTGAGAACATCATGCTGAATGGAAGCGAGACACAAAAGGCCACAGACTGTGTGATCCCATTCATGTTGACATGTCCAGAATAGATAAATTTATAGGGACAGACAGTAGATTAGTGGCTGTGTGTGTGTGTGTGTGTGTGTGTGTGTGTATGTAGAATTGTGAGTGGCTTGTTAAGGGGTATGGAGTTTGGGGTTTTTTGGTGATGAAAATGCTTTGGAAATAGATTGTTGTGATAGTTGTACAACTCTGTGAATTGCATAGTTCAAAAGAGTGAATTTGATAGTATGTGAATTATATCTCAATAAACACCACTGAAGTGATTGTTGAGGCAATGTGCGCCCAGGCCTTTGTTCCTTTGTCTGTAAGTGGGGCCCGTGACCCCAGGAGGAGTAAATGATGTCAAGGGCAGCTCCACTGCAGGACAGTGACAGGTGAGGAAACCTCAGGAGGTCCAGGCGGAGCCTCACCAGGACCCTCCCTCCCTGATTTAACTTTGAGGCCCAAAGGCTTTGCTGGGAGCTGCTCCAGCTGCCTGAGTGGCCACAAGGTCACTTTCTTGACATCCTCACCCCGGCCTCTGCCCCCACATCTAGCAGGTTGGGAGAGGGACTGCCAGGCGCCCACTCCCCATCCTGTGGCCCTCAAGCTCCAAGTGTCTGACCAACCCTCAGGCACCTTTCCTCACTTTGCGTCTTTCAATTTCAGACGCACCCAATCTGGTGACGGGGAGACAAGAAAAACAATCGTGGGCTGTAAAACAGGCTTTTAAACATTTATGTCCACATCAAAGGGAAGAATGAAGCAAGGACTTAGCATTCCAGTTTTCCCAGGGAACGTATTAAGAAAAGAGAAGAGAGAAAGGGTCCTTTCCTTTTTGGCACCAGAAAAGTCTGTTTTCTTTTAAATTTGTATTTATCCTCACAGTGGGGGCTGGAGGAGGGGACCCCACACCATGATCACGACCAGGGCCCTTGGGGAGGCTGTGCCAGTGGTCTCACAGACTTCACCAGGATCCTGCAGGAGCCACACTCAAATCGGCTCTTCCCCTAAAATGGACACTGGAGCACAGATAGGAGGAAGGTGGGTGGCCCTGGACCCTTCGTGTGGGGCACCCCAGCCTGCCTCACTGTCCTCCCCCATCCCCTTATAGAGATTCAGAGCTTCACCAGCGCGGAGAAGGACGGGCGCATCGTGGGGGAGATTGCCTTCCAGCTGGATCGGCGCATCCTGGCCTACGTCTTCCCTGGGGTGACTCGGCTGTACGGCTTTACAGTGTCCAACATCCCTGATAAGATCAAGCAGGTGTGTCTCCCTGCCCCATGGGGGTCCCCTTCCTGCCCTGGGGTCCCCTTTCTACCCTGGGAGGGGAGACCGGGTGGCCCAATGCCCTTTCACATGCGGTACCCATACAGCTGTAGCCTGGACAAGGCCGCGGGTGTCCGAGGCACACAGACCATGGGGTGTGCTGAGCCCCTGCCATGAGCACCTCTGCTTTGTGGCCTGGGATAGTCTCAGGAGTGGCCCCTGGGGCCACAGAGCATGTTGGCTTCCTCCTCACCCGGGATGGGGCCCTGCTCTTGTCCCTGACACTGTCTGCTGGAGGGAAGACTGGGCAGCTCACTTGCCATGGGGGGTGGGGGAGCTTGATTCTGGGCCTGTTTCCCGCTCTGTGAAGCTTCCTTTATAGAAATCTGGTCACTGTCCCTACCCTGGCTTCCCATGGCAGGCTCTGTGATTCAATCCCACCTGCCCGTGTGCTGTGTCCCCAGACATCCATCAAGTCCCTGGACGGCTCTGTGGACGAGAAGAAGCTGCGGGAGCTGACACACCGCTACTTGACGCTGATGGCACGCCTGGAGAAGCTGGGCTACAACCGTGAAGTGCACCCTGTGTTCAGTGAGTTCCTCATCAACACCTACGGCATCCTGAAGCAGCGGCCCGACCTGCGCGCTAACCCGCTGCACAGCAGCCCGGCTGCCCTGCGCAAGCTGGTCATCGACATTGTGCCCCCCAAGTTCCTGGGCGACTCGCTGCTGCTGCTGAACTGCCTGTGTGAGCTCTCCAAGGAGGACAGCAAGCCACTCTTCGCCTGGTGAGCCCGCGCCCCAGCACCCGCCACGCCTTTCCTGCAATAAACGTGTTTGTTCCAAACCCGGGGGCAGCCGTGCCTCCTGCGCGTCCCCTCCAGCCGGGAGAAGGGCCATGTCCCCCGAGGGAGTGCCCGGGGCCACAGGCAGGCACGCTGCGCCAGAGCAGGTGCCCTCATGGACCGGCCGGGCACATCCGATGCCCACAGCCCTGCCAGCTGCCCACACCTGCGTGGCACTTGTCACACTTTATTAAATACGTCTGTTTACTTGTTTACCTTTCCCTTTGGCTCTTTGAGGGCATGGGGAGAGCGCCTTGGTCACCCCGGGGCCACAGGAAGTGCCCCTGGTATTTGGGGAATGAGGCCTGGACACAGCCCCAGGGGGAAGGGCTGAGGCTCAGGCAGGGCTCCCAGCCCCCAACCTCAAGGACCTTTCCCTTGAAAGGGCCAGAGGGTCCTGCCACAAAAGCAGAGCCTGAGGCAAGGATTCAGGGGCAGGCAGGATGGCTACAGAATCTGCGGGGCCCTGGGCAAAATGAAAACACAAACTCCTAGTTCAAAAGTTAGGACTTTTGGGGTGGGTATAGCAGAGAATTAACCTGGGAGTGGGTCGTGCAACCGTGTGGCCAGTTGCCTGTGAGGCTGGTCCGGGGCAGGCAGTTTATACGGGAGGTAGTTCAGGGAAGCAGGAGCCACCCACGGAAGCCAGGCCAGCCCCTGCTGTGCCAGTCGGCTCAGGGCATCTATTTCCTGCCTGGTTCTGGAATCAGGAGTGCTAATCCCTTTTATTAGAGAATGGTGATAGAAACTAGGATCTGGGCACCAGACGAGCTCACTTTTCTTTATAATTGGTGGAGCTTTCTGGGGTCCCCTATTCAGGGACTGTTTAGCACCTACTAGGATTTTTCCTGTCTCAAAACCCAGTGTCACACCAGGTCCAGTCCTGTGGCTTGTATTTGAGCCGTTGCCAAGCCCCACGCAGAACTGATTCCATAGGAAATGTGCTGCTGCTCCTCCTGGAGCCCGCTGGGCTGTTTCTCCTGAGGTCTGCAGTGGGTAGGGGACCTCCTGGGCCCTAAGGTCAGGACCAGGGCCTGGCGTTGCTTCCTTTCTGGGGTTTGGCTTCAAGTGCAGTGTCTCTGGTCACTTCTCTGTTGGGACCAGGATGAAGATGTTGGGGTTTCTGGGCCAACCCCAATGTGATGTAACCTGCCCCTCGGTGCTCACAGCCTGGTGTGTCCTGGACGCCCAGTACCTTAGGCCCCTGTCTTGATAAGTTTGGGCCATAAGAGACACCATAGACCTGGCGGCTTAAACAACAGACATTCCTTGTCTCACAGTTCTGGAGGCTGGACATCCAAGATCAAGATGTCACAAATCTGGTTGCTCCTGAGGCTTCTGTCCTTGACATGTAGATATTGTAGCATCCTGTGTTTTCACATGGTTGTCCCTCTGTGTGTCTGTGTCCTAATGTTATCTTATTTTTTTCATCCTCGCCTAAGGGTATGTTAATTGATTTTAAAGAGAGAGGAAGTGGGGGCAGAGACAGGGAGAGAGAGAGGGCGTGAGAGAAACATCGATCGGTTGCCTCCTTTACATGCCTCGATTGAACCCACAACCTAGGTATTTTGCCCTGACTCGGGGGTTGAACCCGCATCCTTTTGGTGTAGGGGATGATGCTCTAGCCAACTGTGCCACCTGGCCAGGGCATCACCTCTTCTTATAGGGACACCAGTTTTGTTCGATGAGGGCCCACCCTAGTGATCTCATTTTAACCTCATTACCTTTGAAATGACCCTTTTCCCCAAAACAGTCATTTTAGGGGTGCGGGCTTCAATGTGTGAATTTGAAGGTCACAATTCATTCCACAACAGAACCACACAGACCTCTGGCTGAGGGGCTTCCGCCTCTTGGCGATCTGTGCCGGCACACAGATGCAGCACTAGGGTCCTCTGCCGGAAGAGGAGCTGGTGGGCACTTCTGAGCCCCCCTGGGCTGGAGGCTCTCTCCAGGTGAGGCCTGGAGTCAGGGAGAGTTTGGAGAGCTGCCCTTTCTGGGCCTTTGGCATTTGCCAGGTGCTGCTGAGGCTTCCACGGTCCCTCCAGGAGACCCAGAGATGGTATAGTCGTCACCCACAGTCACCTACATTCACCCAGGGGAGCCATGGCTGGAGAGGGCCTGGCCAGTACCCAGACTCTGAGAGTCTCTGGGTTCGCCTGTCTGCTCCAGGGTGGTGGGGCCCCTCCTCCTCTGAGTCCCCGTGAGTTGAACAGCTGGGGACCTGAAGATCCGGGTACCTCCGCGTCCTAGCCCCATGGTGGCTGCTGAGGGGTGAAGTAGCCTCAGACACTGACTGCCCTAAAGGCTGTGTGGGGTGCCTGCACCTGGGAGAAGAACAGCTGGGTGCAGCCTGCTCTTGGGAGGGCAGATGGGGTAGTGATGTGAATCGTGGGCCTTTGCAGAATTAAAGAATTGCCCTGATTAAGGAGCATCAAGAATTGTAAGAAAGCATTGACCTGAACAGGCCCTCTGAGCACAGGGCCTTCTGCTGCTGATGGGGGTACATTGCCCCTTTGCGGGGAGCTCCTGGCCTCAGGGAGCGGCGACCACAGCGGGGAGAGCCGGGGCCTCGCCTGGCCCGCCTGCCCCTCCAGGGCACCCACGCACCTGCACACACTCACTCCCCTGCCACGCCCCTGCCTGACCAGGCTGAGCTGACCTCTGCCCGGAGCCAGGCCAGGCTGAGGCCTCGCAGTGCCCTTCTTGTCCCTTGGACAGGCTGAGGCTTGGGCATTTACGTGAAGAAAGGGAGGCCCAGAGGGTTGCCTGGAGGGTCATGAGGGAGGTCACAGAGACGGCCACCAGGTGGCCTTGGGCCTGGTCTGACCTGCGGTCATGGTCTGGTGAGGACTTTTCCCCATTGAGAGTCCTGGTCACAGGTGCTTCTTTCAGGGGTTCCCACCCTGGACAGAGGGATCCTCCCTCCTCTTCCAACCTCATCAGCTTCACCGGGGATCCTGGTTCTGCCCCTCCCTGACTCAGTGCTCAGTGTTTGCACAGGGACCAGCCTGTCCCTCTCTCCCCAACCTTGGCTGGTGGTTAATAAGCAGCCCGGTGGGGCCTATAAAGGCCTGGAGGACACGGGAGAGCCCTGTCCTTCCTTCCCTCCTGCCCCGTGAGAGCAGCGTCCCGACCAAGGACCAAGGCCCAGACCATGTCTCGCCTGGTGGAATGTGTCCCCAACTTCTCAGAGGGGAACAACCAGGAGGTGAGGTGCTGGGGGGCCAGGCGGGGGGCAGCACAGGGGCTTGGGTGGCGTGGGGTTGGGAGTATCTTTTCTTAGAAGGGACCACCTCCTATCAGCCACGATGACACACATGCCCTGTGAGCATGGGAAACAGAAGTGGCTGAGCTGGGGGGTCTGGCAGGGGGCCTGACCCCAGGTTTAGACAAACACTTGGCCTCTTGTGAAAGTGGGGCCCCCAACTCCAGCCCCCAGGGCTATTTGCGGGTCCCCACCATGGTTCCTCTGTCTCCCCCTCCCCACAGGTTATCAGGTTGAGCACAGTTGTTATCCTCACATCACCTACGAGGAAACTGAGGCACAGAGATTTCAAGCAGGCTACTGAGGGCCACAGAGCAGTTTGGGCACTGAGCCCCTGAATCTGACCTTTGGGCATTTCTGTCACCTCAGAAAGTTCTGGGCCTCTCAAGCCTCTCCCCTGAAACAGCTACTCCCACTGGAGGCCTCTTAAGAGGGCCTGGAGCCCTAACCTTCTGTGACCTTGGCCTATTGGTCACCTTCTAGGAGCCCTGGCAGCCCCTCTGCCGGTCCTGCCTTGGTTTCTCCTGGAGGGGGCAGTGCTGGTGCTGCCCCCTCCTTGGCAGCCATAGCTGGCATGAGACTGCCCAGGTTCCTGCTCTTTCAGGAGTTCCCAAGTGCTCAGTGCAAGCTTACTAGGTACACTTTTGGGTGCATGGGAGACAGGAGAGAGACAGCTCCCTCCAAAGCTCCTATGCCCTCCTCCAAATGGGAAAGCTGAGGTGTGGGCCGGGCTCTCACCCCCAGGTGATTGACGCCATCTCCCAAGCTGTGGCTCAGACCCCAGGCTGCGTGCTGCTGGATGTGGACGCCGGCCCCTCAACCAACCGCACCGTTTACACCTTTGTGGGGGCTCCTGAGGACGTGGTGGAGGGGGCCCTCAATGCTGCCCGGGCTGCCTTCCGGCTCATCGACATGAGCAAGCACAAAGGTGAGGGGCCATCTTGCCCACAGGGCACGGCCCCGGGGTCTGGGGGGCTTGTGGAACCCTCTGGGCCAGGTGGAGGTGCCTGGTGACTCTGGACAGTGAGGCTTGAGTGCTCTGGGGGAGGGGGTGGAGGCCAAGGTGAAGACTTGGCCCTGCTGGAAACCAACCTGTCAACAGCCTGCAAAGCCAAACACGTCAGGGTGGCACGCAGGGTCCAAGGTCTCTGACCGCTCATGGGGGAGGCCAGGCCCACAGGCAGGGAGTTCACAAGTGACCCCACCTGGAGAGGAGATGGGGGCTCATCTCAGAGCGAGGAGCTGCCCGCAGGGAGGAGAGAAGTGCTGAAAAGGGGGGAGGGGCTCACCATCATGAAGGGGGGCTGCTGGCCGGAGCGGGGGTTCAGCATGGACTCCCAGCTTCCAGGGGAGGGAGGGCTGGACGGCTGGGGCAGGACCAGGAAGGCCTTCCGGCCCAGCCAGGGCTCTTTGGGAGCACAGCTTCACAGTCCTGTTGTGTTTTCTTTGTGGTTTTCAGGAGAGGGAGAGGCTTACACTGTTAATCTAAAAGTAAAAGGGCAAAGTGAGAAACAACAACCATTTATTTGAGATCAAAGAATAGCTACTCAGGCCCTGGCCAGGCGGCTCAGTTGGTTGAAGCGCTGTCCCATATCCCAGAGGGTTTTGGGTTTGATCCCTGGCAGGGACATGTATGGGAAGTGACTGATTGATGTTTCTTCCTCTCTCCTTTCTTCCTCCCT